ATATGCATTTGTTGGGGTCGCTAACTCTACTTTGACATATTATTTGACATGGGAATGGAAAATACGATGCTAATTCATATTGTACAGGAGCTACTCGAGAAGAATGATAGGTTTGTTACGAATTTGCCTTCACTTCACATTTAAACACACATTATCAACTCAGGTCAATATGTTTTCAGAAGTTACCGTTACCAATATTCTGTCACACAGTGTGAACGTTAACATATCTTTTATAACATTTATAATACCGTATTCCAACTTTGGTGAATATCATATTAAATTTGACCCGTATTGTTTTCCGTTTTTGAAAAATAACCCCTTTTGTTTAGGAATGTCATATATTAATGCATTTTTATTGGAAAAGAGAAATTAAAAAAAAAAAGAAAAAACCGAAAAGATTCTTCACCCAAAAAAAAAGAAAAGATAAAAAGAAAAAGAAAAAGAAAACTCCTCAATAACAGAAACAGAAACTCGTGTGCTGTAGAGAGAGAGAGAGAGAGAGGAGAGAGATGGGGGAGGAGGAGCAAAGCTCAGTGGGAGTGGAAGAAGAAGAAGAATTGGCAGAGACGGTGGAGGAGGCAGAGACATGGAACCAAAGGAAACAAACCCTTATACTCGAAATCTCCTCAAAGCTCGTCCATGGCGATCTCGAATCCAAGATTGAAGCCGCCAGAGATATCAGAAACTTGGTCAGAAAGTCTTCATCTTCGTCCTCGTCCTCGTCTTCCAAGACTCGCTCGAAGCTGGGCGCGGCGGGCGTGATTCCGCCGCTGGTGTTGATGCTCTGCTCTCCTAATCCGGATGCGCGCCAAGTTTCCCTCCTCGCCCTCCTCAACCTCGCCGTCCGAAACGAACGGTACTTTTCGCTGCTCTGCTTTTGAATTTCTCTGTGTTTATTGACTGATGAGATTTTAAGGATTAGGAATTGCTAATTTTGGCGGTGGGTTTTGTTTGCTTTGTGTTAATTTCGGGAAAGATTGAAACTTTATGTGTTCTGTGATTGTTTTGTGATTAGAGAGGAAATTAGTTGATATGATATGGGTTTTATGTGTTTGTTTGGATTTTGATTGCAAAAATGAAAATAATAGCTCACATTTATAGCCATTAAATGGATTTTGATGAGGTGATTATCAAAAATAAAAAATAAAAAAAACTGATAAGTTTGTTGGTGATTTCTTGATTGAGATTAGTGAGTATGAATCGTATTTGTCCATAATTGTGTGGATTTGATCACTTAGTTATTTACTAGCTGAGGGAGGGTGAGATGCAGAAGAACTAGATGATAGTGAAATTTTCCGTTGTTTGGTTACTGAGGAAGTTGGGGTTGGGCCAAAGAGTTGCTACTAAAAACGGTTGTTGATTTCGGGAAGAATTAGGTTCCTCTCCGTTCAATTTACGGAAATTTCTGCCTCAAGGTGGTTGTTAGAGGGGGGGGGAAATGGAGAGAAAGAACATAGCTTGAGCATGTCAAACTACTTGAGGAATAACTTTTTTTGACAAGTTTTGATCTCCTTGTACTGATACACTGGAGGATCCAACTGGATCTTGAAACCCTTGTTGTAAATGAGATGGAATGCCCAAGGCTTGACCAATCAAATGGCTTTGTTTGGATATCATATCTGATTGAAGGGTGTGAGGCCGCGGGTTCAGTTTTGACCTTGTTTGTTTTCCTTCATATACGTGGCAATGAAAACTTATGTGGTAGCTAATAGAGCGAACTTTATTCCCAAAGTTAAAATATTATCTCTTTCATAATGCTTCACAGGCATTATGATACCAGAAAATGGTGTCCTCTAGTTGTTTTCTTTTGTCTGTGGGGATTCTCCTTAACTGTAATCATGTGAATTCACTTATATGTGAATTTAAAGTGGTCCCTAGTCTGCAATTGTTTGCTCTTTGGCCATTACCCTTGTTTTAGGTTATGGCTTTTACTTGTATAATATTGGAGATGTTGTCAGTATGTCTCATTGGTCCTTGTTTGATGCTAATTAGGAATAAGGTCAAGATTGTGATGGCAGGAGCTGTCCCCCCGCTTGTTGAGCTCCTCAAGTTCCAAAATGGTAGTTTAAGGGATTTAGCAACTGCAGCAATCTTAACACTCTCAGCTGCTGCACTGAACAAGCCAATCATTGCAGATTCTGGAGCTGCACCTCTCCTGGTTGAGATCCTGAGCTCCGGAAGTGTTCAAGGAAAAGTTGATGCCGTGACCGCCTTACACAATCTCTCTACCTGCAAAGAGAACTCAACTGCTATTCTGGATGCTACAGCTGTTCGTCCTCTCATTAACCTTCTCAAAGAATGCAAAAAGTACTCCAAGTTTGCTGAAAAGACTACTGCCCTTCTCGAGATCCTATCCAACTCTGAAGAAGGGTGTACTGCAATCTCAAACTCAGAAGGTGGGATATTAACCTTAGTAGAGACTGTTGAAGATGGGTCCCTAATAAGCACACAACACGCGGTTGGAGCATTGCTCTCCATGTGTCAGAGCTGCCGCGACAAATACAGGGAACTCATTCTTAATGAAGGTGCAGTCCCAGGTCTTCTTCGACTGACAGTAGATGGCACAGCTGAAGCTCGGGAGAGAGCTCGTATGCTGCTAGACTTGCTTAGAGATTCTCCCCAGCAAAAGCAATTGGCCTCCTCCGTTCTGGAGAGAATTGTATACGACATTGCCACTAGGGTCGATGGAGCAGACAAAGCAGCTGAAACTGCAAAAAGGTTACTGGAAGACATGGTTAAAAGAAGCATGGAGCATAGCATGGACCGAATCCAGCAGAGAGCTGCATCTTGTACACCTTCGGATACTCAGTCTACGTAATAATTTTGTTTGGCGGTAGGAGTTTCGCAAATCACTCGGTTAAAAGAGTTTTAATCTGAATCTATGTATTTGTTTGGGCAGTTAAAACTCTGCACCCTGCTAATTCACCCTCCAGGATGTGTTAGAAATTACTGGAGTTGAAATGTTGGATTGGAGTAGGGGTGAATTGTGAGTCCATTGTATATCTCAAACTTTGTTCATGTATATATATAAAAGTCGCTCTTTGATATGTTACTGCACATTTCTTCTGACCACAAGTGAAAACAAATTCACACATTTACCCTTGTACCGGAGATTTTGTATTCGACGCTCCCTCCAAATCCATCCCTTTCGATAAAATGAGAAAACTATATAATTGAAGATCGCTTGTATTCAAAGCAACCCCAAAGTTTGACATGTTCAATGGGGAAAATTTGCTTTTGACGAGAACGTTACTGTGCCGTTATCCTAAACCTAGGTCAATCATGCACTGGGCATTTTAACTTTGACAATGCGATTGACTTGAGATACCGCAGCAATGACATTTCTCATATAATGGGATGTTCATGTGACGTTATCTTAAATCAATCACGCATTGTCATATGTTTTAACTTTCTCATATGAAAATGTGTGATTCACTCAGGAGATTGTCCCCAGTAACATTCTCCAATGATAGTGTTATCTCAAACCAATTATGTACTATTATGTGTTTTAACTTTCCCATATGATAATGTGATCCGTTCGAGAGACCGACACAATAACATTCCCCATGTAATGGTAATGACATGCTGGATCTTGTGGCACAATTGTCCAATATCGACCAAACACTTGAGCAAATCCATCTTTATACAAGTGATTGAAAAGACATGGGCCAAGGCCATGCAGGGCTTTGGATTTGGGTACGTAAGTTTTGTTTTTGTTTTCTATGTTTAAGTTTTTTCGAAACGATAAGACTATTTACCAGAAATAGTCAACTTTTTTTTAAAGAATAAAAGTGAATTCAATCAGTCATAACTATTGATGCCAAATATGGCCGTAGTATAAAAAACATAATCAATTAATTTGCAATGTTTTCCTTCTATTTCTTTCATCGAGAAACATGCCTCAATTTGCCAATAATCCAAGTTCGAGTGAAAGAACTTAGATTAGATAATTGTATCATGCACAATAAGCGTTCATAAACTACTACACAGGTGTGGGGATGTAATAGTTGTATCCTACGTTCAAGAACTACTGCAAAGGTGTGGGAACGTGTTTCTATAAGCCTATCTTCAAAAAACAAAGTTATTATATTTGTTCTGATTCTAGTTACAACTTCGTTACATTTTTATATTTGTGATTAAGTTATATAGTTCAATTTGATTTATGTAATTCAAACATGACATTGTGATGTTATTTTAAGTCAATTACGCACTATCATGCGTTTTAACTTTCTCATATAAAAATGTAATTAACTTAAACTACTGCTGCAATAACATTCACGTTGCATAAAAGTCATCTCTCATTCTCTTGGCTCATGTGGCAAGGCTGGGAGCCTGGGATCCATTCCGTCCTGTACTTTAAACCGAAGGACAGTCTTCTATTTAGTACCACATAAAGCCTTATCCACCGCCCCCTAAAACAGAGGCACCAACCTAAGATCCATCCCAAATTTAACAGACCTCCAACATTTTCACTAACCCTTACAATGTCACATCATTTTTAGGTAAAAAAATTGTTGACTCAGTAATTAAAAGGGGAACAGGATCCCCTCCAGAGCATGAAGACCGAAGCCTGCTGAGCAGCTGAGCAGCCTATTTGGGCCTTTAAAAATTTGATCTAACGACTACAAATAGAGACATCTCTAAAGTTATAATAATTACAGCCGTTAGATCAAATTTCAAAGGTTTAGATGGATTGCTCAATAGGCTCCGGTCCCCATGCTCAGAAGGGGATCCAGTTTCATTAAAAGAGTTGAGCTTAAAATACATCAGTAGTTAAGTTAATTAATTAATTAATTACTTTCACTATCACCTTATTAGTTTTTGCTAATACTGATAGTGAAAGCCATTAATTAATTATTTAAAATTACATATTTAACACGGTCGCTGTGTCTGTAGTTGTTCAACTGTGAAGTAGACGCTTCCCTAATAAACACCGGACTAATTAAGCCTGGATTAGTTATCCCGGTCCCGGGTGCGCACTACGCCGAACCAGTCATCGCCTTCCCGTAACAGACACCGGACTAATTAAACCTGGATTAATTACGCGCGGGTACCAGTCAACTCCTTCCACGTGGAACCATCCTAACAGATAAGCGCAGTACACCCCCTGCTCAGTCTTGCACTGGGTGATATAGTTTTATAATCATCACAATCGCCCCTCCTCGCTGAAAGGTCAGAGAATTTGAGGGAGAAAATCCAGCAGCTGCCCGCACTTCACAGTCGCACTGGAGAAGCCAAGTCGATAGAGCAATGGTGACGAAATGAAGCTTTCCCGACGGTTCTAGCTTCATCTCTCCGTGTGAGAACCGGTGGAAGAAGGTAAAAATCTTTGCGCATCTGCTAATCTTTTGGCTTCGTACATTGCATCGATTCGTAGATCTCCGTAACCCCACTTGGAATTTGTTCAAGGATCTGAAAATAAACAACCTAAATCGAACAAAATCTTATCTTTTTCCATTCCCATATAGTTTGTTTCTCCATTTTTTCTTTTTTACTGAAGCTTCGTTTTTGTGTGGTTTGGTGATCTGGGTAGTTGTGTTTTGTGGTAGATTGTTGTTTTGGATGGTTGTGGAAGAAGCTTCTGGTTCCGGAAAATGATGGGTCGGTCTCCATTTGCTAGAGCTGGAGGGTTTAGGCCTGAGAATTTGGGTCCCAGTGCCCTTGCCTTGATTGGGAACCTTTGCTTTACGTTTTTTGTGCTGGGAGTGTTGATCTTTACTATCATTGCCGCCACCTATGAACCTGAAGACCCGTTGTTTCACCCGTCGACAAAGATCACTACATTCCTCACATCCAAATCCAATGCCACTTTCAAATCCGATGACACCGTGGTCAAGACTGGTGAGAATTTCTTGGCTCCCAATCAAACAGAGATTGGCAACTTTATCAGTATGACTGATGTTGTTAACTTGAGCGAGGGCGATAACTCGATCACTCAGAATTCTGAAGCAGAATCTGCTAGTTGTGAGGGTCCCATTGATTGCAGGGACCCGGAAGTGTTCCATTTGATGATGAGGGCCACCATAGAGAAGTTTAAGGATATTCATTTTTACCGGTTTGGGAAACCAGTGCAGGGTTCGGATGGTAACAGTTGTGATATGGCATGGCGGTTTAGGCCTAAGGAAGGGAAGACTGCTTCTTTTTACAAGGACTATCGGAGATTTAGCATTTTGAAGTCTGAGAATTGTACTCTTAGTGTGGGTGATATTGGAGAGTACCATACTGGAGTAAATGCCAGGAAGAGGAAGAAGAAGGCCGGGTTTGATAAGCAAGGGAAGACAGAGGCCGGGTTTGATAAGCAAGGGAAGACAGAGGTGAATTCCTTGCCAGTTGTTGGGGAGGTTGTGAATGATACCCTACCTGTGGTTGAGTCTGAAGGTTCATTCAGTCATGGGAAGTACTTAATTTATAGTGGTGGTGGAGATAGGTGCAAGAGCATGAACCATTACTTGTGGAGTTTCCTGTGTGCTTTAGGTGAAGCTCAGTACCTGAACCGAACTTTGGTCATGGAATTGACTCTTTGTCTGTCTTCGATTTACACTTCGTCAAATCAAGATGAGGAAGGGAAGGATTTCAGGTTTTACTTTGACTTTGAGCATTTAAGAGAGTCTGCATCTGTATTAGATGCAAAGCAGTTTTGGACAGACTGGGAAAAATGGCAGAAGAAAGACGGTTTGGGTATGCATCTTGTAGAGGATTATAGGGTCACACCTATGAAACTTAATGATGTCAAGGATACTTTGATTATGAGAAAGTTTGGATCTGTGGAGCCAGACAATTATTGGTATAGGGTGTGTGAAGGGGAGACAGAGTCTGTAGTACAACGACCATGGCATTTGGTGTGGAAATCGAGAAGGTTGATGGATATAGTGTCTGCAATCGCATCAAAGTTGAACTGGGATTATGACTCTGTGCACATTGAGAGAGGGGAGAAAGCACAGAACAAGGAGCTTTGGCCTAACCTTGATGCAGATACTTCACCTAGTGCACTTCTCTCAACCCTGCCAAACAAAATTGAAGACGGAAGGAACCTCTACATTGCAACAAACGAGCCAGATACATCTTTCTTTGATCCTTTGAAAGACAAGTATACCACTCATTTCCTCGACGAGTACAAGGATCTTTGGGACGAAAGCAGCGAGTGGTACTTTGATACCACTAGGCTCAACAATGGAGTTCCTGTTGAATTTGACGGTTACATGAAGGTCTCGGTTGATACAGAAGTATTCTTGAGAGGGAAAAAGCAGATAGAAACTTTCAACGATCTCACCAAAGACTGCAAGGATGGTATCAACAGTTGCAGCACCGCGACCAGCTGATCCCCGCAAATTAATTTTCAGACTTCGCCATTTGCTACATTGCCGATATCCACGTGTACTGTTTAGCTATTTTTCTGTTCTGCATTTGAGAATTTGTAAGCCTAAACTGATAGTTTTAGAATTAAGTAGCTTTTGTCATGAGTTTGTACTTGTAGAAAAAGCACTATCAATATCTATCACTTCGAATTTCACTAGTGTGCACTTGAACTTCGGTTTTGTTTGATGTCAATGTCTTATGTATTGAATCATGTGATCTTCTGGTGTGGTGTTGCTCCAGAATTTGTTTTCTTCGATAAATAGTTGAACTTTTTCTTTTATTTTGGTTCAAGATTTTTAATTTGCTTCCAATTAGGGAGTTGTTAATCGCACTCCCAAAAAAGTTATGAAATAAAATAAAAAATGGAATGCAAAATAACTAGTTTAGAGTGCTAACAACGATTACCAACATCAATAGAAATTGGAGTACTTAAGGCTTCCTATTTATCATTTGTTTGGTCACATGCCAAATTTCCATCCTCTTCGATCTTTTACCTTGAGGGAGGACATTTAGCAGAGAAGGTAAGTACCAAGTTGCTAGTTTTTCTGTTAATATTATTTTACTTTCACTTTTTGCACTCTTAACTTTATGGTCATTAGGTTTAATAAATCAAAGGAAAAACAAATTAGTTAATCAAATGATTGAAGATTTTAAAGGTTGGTGCTATCCATACATTATTTTACATTCGAGGCACCACTTGTTAATTCATGTCCTTTAATCCTTTTCAATTCTTTTGATCCGACGTCTGAAAATTAAAAAAGTGTGAGAAGTAAAAACCGGTGTATGGATGACACCGCCCATTTTAAATTGGTAATGTTCATTAGTGAGCGCCTACCCGCCGGACAATCAATATCGTCATCCTTGATTAGTCCTTATAGTACCTAGGATAACAAAATATTACTAAAACTTTCCATTCTCAGTAGGGTAGCGATTTTCACACTCCATTTGATACATTCGCACTCATCGCTCTTATTTTCATGCTATAAAAACTAGAGAATTGTAGAATAGCCAAAATGAGATGAGTGCAAAATGGAGAGTGAAAGTCGCTACCTTTTTAGAACAGAAGCATCCTTTCGAACAACCAACAAAAAATAAGGTGACAACATACGACTGCTTCTGAAAATGCTACTAGGTATTATTAAGAAAATAAATAGTTGCTGATAACAAAACTAGTTGGCCAAGCATTACTACAATGTGCTAATATCAACAAAATGCCATCTAATCCTCTCTTTTCTCCTTTCTCTACATCCTCCTCATATATAGTCAACATTTGAAAGAATCAAATAGAAAATTTAGTCTGTATACAGAACAAATACACGTCAATCTGGCAAGTCTCATTTTCGCCCGGTCTTCCACTTTTTGATCGGAAACAAGGTCACCTTTCTGCCAGAATTGTTAGCTCTGCCTTCCGAAGATTGTAACATTGAAATCGTTAATGGCGGAGGATCTTTGTGTCCCTTTTCATCCACAAATGGTTTCAGCTCAAATGCACCTCTAGTGAAACCTCTAGCAACCTGAAAGGGGTTTACGCCTCTGACAATCAGTGAATTTCAATGCAAATCATGGAAAAGCATGTCAGCTACAAAGTACGGGCAAGAAAGTTGAGGTCGTGTTTGTTTACTAATGGAACCGATAAATCTAAGGTTTCTCCTAGCAGCTAAAGTTTCAATTTAAACCATTATTCGCTTATGCATTTCACATACCATACAGGTCATTCATACCATCCTCAATCTTGAACAGAAACTGAAGATTTGGGATCAGGAATACCCGTCGGCTTTACATACCTTTAGCAGAATCCAGACTTTGAGGGAACTGCTCAAGAATGCAAGTCTTGTCCTTTTCCCAGAGGTTAGGTACTCACACATGTGATGATCAACTCTCAGAATAAACTTCGGCCAGGATTTGGGGTTCCCCGGGTCCGGTCTCTCTTCCATCATTGCCTGATAGAAGTTCAAGAAGTATTAATTTTTCTGTTCGAAAGGCACATTTAACAGTTGAATGAACTAAAATTATATGGTACATGTTAAAATGGCTGTAAAGCCTGCTAGCAGGATTTCAATTCTAGAAAGAAATAATTTTCCGCCAATTATAGTAAAAGGAACGTATAGTAGTCTATAACTTCACTTACAAGTAATCGAGAAATTTCTTGTTCAATTTTGGAGAAGGAGGTCTCTAATGCTTCTACTCTCCCAGTGGCATGACAGCAAGCACACGGTTCACTAATCATAAATGTCACACTAGGTCGTACCTGTCAACATGATAATCATTCATCAGATAAAACAATTAACCTTTGACTGAGCTCATCAAGCATTGTGCGAAGATTTGCCAGTTAATATATAAATCTTGAGAAGATTTTCATGTTGCCCTCTTGACCTAAATTCAGTAAAATTTTAAAGAGTAATTTTGAAGAAGATTTGCAATTGAGCACCATCCCAACTATTCGAGGTTGGCTAGATGGTTGCTTGAAATTGCAAATGTACGTATAGATTATTAAACATTTAGAGACTTGGGAGCAGCCTCTCCATGAGCGATAGGTCTCGGGTTCGAGACTTGGGAGCAGCCTCTCCATAAATGGGGGTAAGGCTAGCCGACATTCACCTCTCCCAGACCCTGTGTAAAGCGGGAGCCTTGTGCACTGGGTACGACCTTTTTTTAAAAGCAAGGAGAAAATTGTGATTTGCAATAATGCAACGTACTCGCTTTCTTGTTATTTCCATAAGTCCATGCCTAGACAGTTCGGAGACTTTAACCATCGATCTGTCTCTCTCCACGGCCTTCTTAACTTCTTCATACACCAATCTCTTGTTTGCTGAAAATAAGGCAGTGCGAAAGAGGAATCATAAACAAATATAACTTCCTCAAGATAAAATGATAAAGAATTCAGAATTTTTTTATGTTTTATGTATTTTAATTAAATTGCCTCCTTTTCCCATAAAAACATGAAGTTCAGTGACTTTCTATCTATCCTAAGAACCAAACCAGTTGTGGTCATGCCTAAATATGTCAATAGCACGTCCACAAACCCACAAGAGAGGGAGACTTCGACTTACACTCATCAGCCATGTCAATGAAATCTACCACGATTATGCCACCAATATCTCTCAGTCGTAACTCCCTTGCAATCTGAAACACATTATTCTCTGTCAAACAAGTACCACAGAGCTTAAAGAATCAGATGGAAAAATACATCTATCTTAAAGCTTAGAAAGGAGAATAAATAAAGCATCTTTCGGAAGGCAATCAAGTATTAGTTGCATAAACATGGCAATATGCTTTGTTGCCATCTCACAAGTCACAGCTGAGTATGCTGTTGCCTAGCAAGAAATATACAAGTTGCCAATCCGTGCAAGGCAAACAACGTCCAGAAGTGGTGATATAGTTCACATGTAGCATACCTGTTTAGCAGCTGCAAGGTTGACTTCTAAAATAGCTTTCTCCTGTGAATTTCCATGACCAAACATCCCATGTCCTCCATTCACATCGATAGAGACTAATGCCTCAGTTTGCTCTATCACTAAAGAACCTCCATTAGCCAGTGGAACCCTGTAAGGCAAGAGATGTAAACATCAACAAAAATACTCAGCTAACTCTTCTCTCCGCACCCTCACAGCAACAAAAGGAAAAACAAAGATAAAGGGTCAATGAAGTGAAGAAATCATGGAACAAACATTAACAAATGGGTCGATAAGCATCACCAGTGTTAGAAAATGTGACAACGGAGAGAATAAGCAATATTCCCTGCCCCTCACCTTTTACTGAGCATGTTGTTGATCTCTTCTTCTATGTTAAATTCATCAAAAAGAGGAACTCTTTTGTTGTACAACTCTACTCGATCACAGAGATCAGGGGCAATCTCCTGAAGGTAATTGCTAACCTGGAAAGCATAGAAATAACTGACCTTAGTATTTCATAGCAAAATAATAACTTTAGTAAAAAATTAGTGATTACACTGTTGCAGTTAGAGAAAGATAGATCATGAAAGATATAGAAGCAGTCAACTGTAGACTAGTTGAAGTCTGGAACCATACGATGCTTTTCCAATACTGTGTTCTCAGTTTCTCCTATATAGGAGATACAGTAATTTCAATTTTCCCCTCTCACTATGAGTAATTATGACCCCATACATCAATTACGATCCAACTACACCACACACATTTGTCTCATTCAAAAAAATTCATGAGAGTTTCTAATCTACTAAAATATCCTATATGATTAGGCCATACCTCATGATATGTCCTGGGAGAGTCAACCACCATTTTTTCAACCTGAAGCAGCCACAAGAAAGGGATAAGATTGCAAGATTTTTGTAAAATTTGATGTGAACAAAATAACGGAAAATGAAAAACAATAGACAGAATGACTTTGATATAAATGATATAAACTCACCGTCTCATTAAAATAATCCTGGACAACTGAGAGCGTCTGACCCATTGCCCGATGCAGAATGACAGGAATGGCCCCTTCCACACCTTCATCTGCAGCAAGAGCTGCAGATTTTGCATGTTCTGTAATGTTTTTCCAAGTTGAAACAAGGCCTTCCAAATCCTTTTGCAGTTCCTCTAAAGAATGACCAGCAGCAACAGTTCTTACCGTCAGACCAAAACCCAGAGGTTGCAAGGTTTTTGCTATGACTTTTAATCGTGTACGCTCAACACCGCCAATTTTTTTGGAGATTCCGATTCTATCACAACGAGTTAACAATACCTGCAAGCCAAAGGACTCAGAGGTGTTATATATTCGTAATAATAAAGAATAAGGAAAATTTAAGGAGGCAAAGGCTGAATCAAAACATACCCAGAATCTGCTTTTTAATTTTGGATAAGCAGTCAGTGTGGGACCTTTTGAACCCAGCCCCTCTTTGACAACTTGTACAATAACTTTAGTGCCTTTCTGAACTCGGGCCCACTTATTCTCATTAGTCACAGTATTTGTATCCTTCTTATTCTGGAGATGAGACATTTGAGAATTGCTAGAACCATTTATGGCAACAGGTACAGCACTAGTTTCACCTTCTAGAAAATCAGCTTCTACTTCACCATAATCGAGTATACCACCATTCATGTTTTCCTTAACATCTGAAACATCAAATTCATCCTCAATATCATGCTCATCATCGTCATCATCATTGTGCATTGATTTTACATAATCATTCTGAGAGCTGATTTCAATGACGTCATCAGTCGCTTCATAATCAAGTGACACACGTTCATTTTCGTATGCAGTCACATGCTCATCCAACATATAGTTGTTAGCTTCACTTTTCTTTGTCCTTCGGAATGGAGGGAATATGAATGGTTCTCTGTTTTGTTTAATGTCCATTAGAGAGGGTCTAGAACTCCCAATATTTACAAATGCACCACCCATATGGGGTACAAGTTTCGAAACCACTCCTATATACACGCTATCACACTGCACTGTACTTTTAACTGGTTCCAGTAGTAACTCAACCAATTTCCCATATTCTAGTAGGGCTATCCTTTGCATGGTACATATAGAGGAATTAATCAGTATAATGGTAGAAACAGGTTCCTTCGAAATTAGGTTATTCCTTTCTTCAGGCAACAAATGTTCTGGATCATCCAAATTTTCCGCACCATCTTTTATGCTGTCATTCTTTTTGGACATATCAGACCCCATCTTATCCTTAGACACAAGGCAGAAGAGAGGTGAATGGAGTAACCAGGGTTCCTCAACAGGATAATGTCTTTCAGTTGAAAAACTATTAGAAGTTGAGCCCCTCTGACTGCTATTTGCTATACGGTCGCAATCAGAGTACACATTATCCTCCATTGGTTCATTTAAGAATGGGTTCAACTCTAATATGTCGCTACTGGAAATTAAGCCATTGTTAAGTTTGCCATCAGCATACACCGTGCGCTTCTCCATAGGAAGATTTAAGGCTGGCTTGGATTCTATCAAATCACTTTTAAGGTATTTCATAATCTCATATTCATCTGTCAAACCACTGGAAGCATTTGAGTGTTCAGAAACATGTCAAGGAAAGAGATTGCATATACTATGGCATTACAAGGGAGATTTACCTCTAGCTGGAGCTGAGAACAATGGTTGTATTGGAAGATATGCCTCCTCTATCCATGAACCCCATGAACTATTTGGAGACATTGTGGTATCGGTCCTCATCCATGAATCCCGCACTATAATTTTTCCACTTTGTTTGACAGGTAAGGGTACAGATATAGACAATTCAGGTCCAGGTCTCCAGGTAATGTCATATGAAGGCCACCTTTCCGTCTTTATGAAATAGTTATACTTGAAGTTGACACCACCATTAATCTGCCAAAAAGTAAAGGGTGAATAAGCGGACCTTACAGCATAATACAATAAAAATGCTCTCTGTGTCTCTCTTCGTCTTTCCCTGGAGAAACAGCTCTAGTTACTTCTATGCTAAAGGGAAATCTTCAACTACTTATTTTCTCATATTAGAAACATGCGTATGGATTTTGTTGTTTGCTTTCATTTGTGTAAGTCACTATAACAAATAAACAAAACTCATATTTGACAGATACCATAATTCATGCATCACTTCATGCTTCACAAAACCAACATCATCACTTGTTACTTTGCGTAGCTAGGCAAAATTACCTTGACTTCAGCCTTCCATAAGTTTGTATGTTCCATGGGAGACATTAGTATAGCAATCTCCGGCTCCCAGCAGCCAAGAACAGTAGGATCCCCAGTTATGTATAGAAATTGGCCAGCTTGTAGATCAGCCTCTATTGTCCAGACTATCTTGCACATCCCTTTAGAAGTAGCACTTGACTTTCCTGAGAAACCAGAATGTTCTAGATGCATAAGCCATTTTTAACAATAGGAAGGTACTTACTGAAAGGATGATGTGTAACATTAACGACATAAAAGTTTACATTAGTACTAACTAGTAAGAGGGACATTCTCTTACAATCCTTGTTTCTTTTTCGAGTTAAAAAAAGGTTACGTATTTCCTTATTATAGGTAGAAACAAAACTAGGAATGATCATCGTGGAAAGGAAAATTTCAGATTAAAATGCTATTGCTCAGACCAGTGAAGCATATTGCAAAGGAAATTCTCTGATAAATTCTTTGCATTTTCGTAGTTGTCTGTCTGAACATGGATGAGGATGATAAGTCCTATCAGTAGACAAAATACTACTTAAAATGCATCTTATTTTCCGCCAGGGGGTGGGGTGTAGGTTGAAGTTCTCAAACCAAACACGGTAATGAGCTTAAAATGAATTAATGCAAACCTAACACACAAGGAAATGGCATCAAAGATGTTCAAAAACAGTACAGTTGCGTTACCTTTCTCCATGGACATCATAGGAGAACTCAGGAAAGAACCATGCTTTGCCATACAAAGAGTGAATCTGAACGCATTTCCGAGAGGTATGTGATGGCATGTATACCTGCTTTGATACCATTATGTATTATATATATCAAAGTAGGAAGACAATCACACTTAGCAAAATTATTTTTAGAAGCATTTCTATGTAATTTATCATCTTCTTTTGAGCACAAATGCTGAAGTTTCCATAGAATGCACAAATACAGGTAGTGGAACAACTACAACTGGTATTTAAATAGCATTCATCTATCCCACGATGTTCTCATTGCATGCAAGGATAGGGGTCGAGGGACTACTAATATTGGAATTTTCATTCGAACCAATGCCGACCGCTCGAGATTAAACAAGCAAACATCTTTCATATTCCATTTATCCTGTGCCTTATGATTTCTATGTTTTGATTAACAAAAAACATGAATATCATTACATTGGATAATGAACAATTATTCTGGAATTAATATGATTTAGCTCGTGTTTAACTACATATCGCAGCGGTAATAAATCTGCTTCAAACTAAACACAATTCCCTATCTAGAGAACACTGACTATAATTTCCCGGTGTATGCTGACATACATTGCGAGTAGAGCAATGCTGAAAACGAAAAGGACCCAAATAAAACCTGGTCCTAGAACACCGAAAGACGCAAGCTTTCGCACTCCATAGCCACAAATACATCCAATTCAATGTGCTTACATAGCAATTCATTCGAAACCAATAAAACCCAAACAAATTCAGAAGCAGAAAACAGTAACAAAACTTGAATTCGAAACGTACGACGACAAAAACCTCAGGCTGACGGAGCTCCGAACAAGCCAAGAGGAAGAAGAGGGAAACTGGGTATGCTTCGTGAGCAGGTGGTGGTGGCGCCGAAGACGGGCGTGATATTCGGGGACGCCCATGAGCCGCCGCGACCCCAGTGCTTCAGTGGAGCAGGGGCAGTGAAAAGCCATAGAGGGCGGTGCTGGGTTGGTAAATTAGGACTTGCAGAAGGGGCAGTTCCGTCATTTGATGGGTGCCGAGCTTCAAAGGCTTCAGCTTTGGGACTGTGGAGGGATAATGGAAAGTGGATAGAACGAATTCTGCTGCTTGTGAGTTGTGAGAAGAAGATAGAATGACATGGCCTTGCCCTTGCGGGTTGCTAGTGTTTTTGGCTTGGCGCCTTGTCTCGCACGTGTGAGTGTGTGGATTGTTTTGCTTTTTTTTTTTTTTTTTTTGAAGAAAATAATTTAAAATCTTATAGACTTAAAAACGTAGCATGTTAGATTGTCAGGTAAGAGAAAATGTTTCTTCTTTTGCGGATACATAACATATTATATGTTGTCAAGCTATGAATCAGACATCATCTAATTAATAATTTGGATTGACAGTCTGACAACATAACATGTTAGATTGTGTAGCAATAGACAGTTTCTTTTAGGGTATAAAAAAATGTTAGTTGTCAAGTTACGTTGAAACATTGCTCTCTGTTCGTTAATTCGAAATGACAATTTGACGATATAATATATCAAATTATTTAATACCACGGACTTTTTATCGACAAATGATCATGATGTGTTTCAAGTTTAACCCTACTTTCTTGTCTCTTTTTTTTGTCAAAATGCAATCATGTGGCTTAGCAAGAAAAGTTCCATCAACTTGATCATTCCATTGATGACGACATGAACTTCCCGCAAAATAAGTTGAATCCTAAGTTAGTTGTATTGGTAGAACACTTCCAACACCAAAATAAATGTTTTCCACGTTTTGGATTTTTTGACAAAAATAAACTCAAATGCTTTGATTTACAGGGAGGAGGATATGAACTTGGGCACAAGGGGGATGAGGCGGGAACATTGCTTTAGTCAACTGGCTCAACTCACGAAATGCAAATGTTTCACATTATTAACATTGTACATTTTGGGTTGAAATATATAAATAACTGAATCACACATGAAAATAAAAATAAAATATTATGAATATTAAACATCGATCCATATCAATTCATTATTCAAGTGAATAGTAATTGCCTGAATCCACTCGTAAGCCCGATTCCACTCCTAAAACCACAAAAATAGGTGGAAATACTCTCTAGCAATGAAGATAAACTTACTTGGGAGGAAATTCCCCTAGTGAAAATTATAGTCAAATGTTGCTACTTCACATGAAAGATGTAAAAACCATTTTTGTACAGCCATCGTCCAGTGGCGTGCCACATCATCAATTAACTGTCCCTGACAGAATGGCTAACGAAAGTACAAAAGTGTCACAACATTCAAGCTTTAGGTATGAAAACGAAAAAAAAATTAGGTATGAAAGTTGAAATTTCACGATACTTGAGATAGTAAAGATAGAATAACCCATAAATAAAATACAAGAGCTGCAATATGTAATTAAAATAGAGTTGCTCCATTAAAACAGAAAACCAAATTCCATACATTGAAGTTCATAAGATAGAGAAGAAAAGACCCACAATCAAATTTGCACGACCAACTCAGCACTGTCTTTTCTACTTAGCCTAATTAACATTTCAAAATACAGTCCATCACAACAACGAAATTCAAGTCGAACACGAGGCCCCCCTACTACTTTGCCATCGCCAAGAGAAACAAGGACAAAACGGCACCTTTCTTGTCCAAGTACAACATGTAGACGTTTTTTATGTTTTCAATGCCATCATCGCGCGATATCACTCTATCAGCAGCTTAGCCATTTCCAGTGCATAGGCTCATACAGGCCTTGGGTAAAAGTACATCTCGAACGATACACTGGATATAAGTAATTGGGGAAAAACATAAGAGCACGCACATGCATGTACACAAGATAAGGTAACTGAATCAGCATGAATAAAATCGAAACAATCTCATTTTCCGTCAGAAGCATGCTACTGAAATGAGAAAAACAGAAGTGATAAACTGATTAAAATTAGTTATAATCATGTAGAACTGGAGGGAACAAACAACACCTCCCAAAGGCGGGTGCATACCATGAAAATTTAAACACTAATCATGTTATAAAAACAAAAACACGTGAAGGAAAAGCATAACATACCTTCCAGAGTCTCTGTCTGGCTCTATGGCCAGAGGCTGGTCGCCTACCTTGACAGAAACAAGACTTTCTGCATAAAGAACAGCTTGAATATATAGTGGGTTTTCAATGCCATGTATAGGAAGGTATTTGAGGTTTCGAGTGCGTAGGTTATAGGAGACAACATCTCCGTCAGTGGCCGCCAGAAGAAGCTCGTCATTCTTCCAAAATATCAATGGAATCTCAATCCTTGGTACAGATTCGATTGTTAAGCGTTTCTTACTCCATGGACTTTTTACCCCATCACTAGAGTCATCCATCACCCATATATCAAAGATGGAAAGTCCAGTTCCTTCATCTTTGCGGTAGCAGAACAAAGCAATGGATTCCTTCCATAATGCAAGACTGCAATTCCATGCAAATCTTTCCAGAGAATCATACGGAACTGGTATCTTATCAAATACCTCCTCACCCATATCAAATGTAAGGATGAAATCATTATTTTGTAGATCAGTAGCAAACCAATGATAAACACCCTTGAAGTAGACATAAAAAGAAGGTGTCCAGATGACAGAAAAATCAATCTCAAACTTGACCTCTCTCCAAGAATCAACACCTAGAGTGTATACCTCTGCTATTCTAGGCCCCGGCAAAAATTTCACAATTCTAACAACCTTGTATGCTTTAGCTTTGGAATCATACCCAAATCCAACGGCATTGGTAATGGTATCCACTCTATCAGCAACATCTGGTTCTGGGGGAGGCAGGAGAAGACAAGGCTGGGGAAGAAGCTGAAATTCCATGATCGCTGGATTGACTAAACCAATATCCTCAGGACAAAAGTGAATACTTAGACAGAAAATCCCATCACAGTAACCCACAATTTCAAAATTTGGAGAAGATACACTCAACAAAGGATATGCAACACTAAGATCCTCAACACAGTCATCACTATCACTAAAATCCTCTGAAACATTAAGCAATGACAATAAAACGTGCTTCCTATGATCCCTCAGATTGTTAACAGTATGTTTTACAACAATGCTGGTGGAGGAATCTGATTTCGAATTTGAGTTAGAAAGGTGACTCGCCACAAAGCTAGGACTATCAATTAGATCACACCATAACTTACGGACACATTTGAATCGCATCAAGGATTTAGGTGGCAATCGAGACAGGATTTGCACCACCATATCATCTGTAAAATTACACGACTTTGCCATTAACTAATTAATTAATTTCTCCTCCTCTACTTTTCCTTTTATGCTTTTCAGCAAATTAAATAAGGCGGAACAATGATGGAGCAAGATCAAGGGAGCATCTTACCTTGGATTTCCGATCGTGCTGAGTCCAAGAGCAGGAATTTATTAAACTTCAAAATCCACTCAAATTCCTCATCGGAGTGACTGAGATTCCTTCATTTCCAAACACTCATTGTTTCTTCCTTCCACTCGGCTCTGACTAGTCTCTCTGTTATAGTCAATGCTCAGTCATACTGATATTTCTCTCTAGGGTTTCTTCTTCTTCTTTTGCTGCTGTTTGATGATGGAACGGGTTCAGGGCCCCCTTTGGACTTTTGTAAGCTAAAAAGGAAAAGATATATTGTCCAAATGTGGGTGTCATTTATTATCTGTCTCGAGAACATACTTTACGTTACAAGTTACATCAAGAGAGAAGTGCACAATAACCCATATATATATATATATATAGGACATGATTTCCGCACACCATTTTCCTTTTTTTGCACACCCTATTTATTTCTGGGTATTATACTAAATAAATCCAAAGGAGAACCAAGGAGCAGAAATAAACAGGGTCTGTAGGTGGAGGAATGTGGTGTGCAGAAATCATTTCCCTAAATCAAGAATATTTTGACGATTTCCCACTAAATTAACATAAAGGGCCAATTTCCGCATACGGCCATGTTTCCCCGTACTTCATCTAACTTTCTATTGAAAATGTCACATTTCAAAATTAAAAAAAAAAAAAAAAGAGGACAATAATAAGATTAAGAAAGGAAATATAACAAACACAAAAGGAGATTCAACGACCAACATGTGACTTTTTGGATCGAATTTGGGTAAATTTGAAGATAGGGAGAAATGATCTATTCATAGTACTTTAGGGAAAAAATTGGCCAAACCAAAACTTTATGGGTAATATCGGCAATGGGGTACAGGTTAAGGGGGGGAATCGGCGAATTACTCTTCTTATATGTATAGAGAAACTGAACTCAAGTGAAGCTCTAGGTTAGTGTCAATTGTGATTAATTGAAACAATGGAAAGTAAATGGAAGAAAACATGGTGATCAAAATCTGCAATGAGAGAATATCTTGAAAAGATATTTTTGAAGCACTACATCCAACTAAAGGAAACGGAGAGAAGATAATAAAGCAACACTCTAATTAAATTTGGCTTGCCCGGTGTTCAGCATAATTATAAGGTTAGTGTTCTGCAGTTCTATGTGGATCTACTTAAAAAGCTTACAGCAAAACTGCTTTCTAGAGAAGCATTTCCAAACGGACCATAGATGTCCTAGTTTACAGGATTTAAGCCAGTCAGTTAAGAGTCCCCTTAACCCTTGTATAGCATACGCCCCTCTAGATTATGCCACATGTTTAAAAGACAAAACACAATTAGTCTAATGCATTTAATTATTTCTTACCAATAATTAAGCAATAAACTTACCATTCAAAACCCCACTGAGTGAGGTTTCAAAACATAATTCATTAAAACTACATGATGAAGGTTGTTGTTAAGGCCTTGCAAGGCATGATAGTGATTGGAGTTGGGGCTCTTGACTTTATAATTGGTGCAGCTCTCTATTCATTCAGAAGCTGCAATCTGTAATGGAAAGAGATCAAGAGTTTGCGTTGTTGAGCAAATTTGACACCGTATTCTATATACAAGCTCAAAGTAGCCACTCATCCGCATCCTAATTTTGAGACAACATAAAAAATTCATATGATCACCTATCAAATTTGCCCCACCTAGTCAGAAATCATATTGCTATTTAGCCTAATGAAAAATTCAAAAGTTAGTTCACATCGAAAATGACATTCACTACTTTTATTTATGAGACAATGATGCCCTATTAAATGGCGGCTCAGTTTACTCTCGAGGATTGCTGATTAAGTAAGCTCGAGAGGAACAGGTCTAAACTAGACGAGAGGAGTAAACTATTCAAACTATGCACAACAAGGATATGGTTAGTGCTTACAAGGAACTTTCTCTTCAGGTTGCTTTCGGTTGCACAACTCCGACAGCAGATTATATACTTCATGGCTTAGTGTTTGGATCTTCCCCCGGGCTTGGCAATGACCAAAGTGGATGGTCGGAAGGGCAAGTCTTGTGAAGTTGCCATTGCTCCACTGGCCCTGCCTTGACCTCTTCCTCTTGTCACAGTTTGTGAAGACGATGGCAATGCAGCAGATCGCTGAGTGAACTCCATTCGCCTTGATCAGGGCATGGCCCAACTACCTCTTCCTCTTCCTCCTCGCACCTAAACCCTAAAAACAATAGCAAACTAAGCCTCAAGTTAACAAAGTAAATTATGCATGTACGATTTTCTCAGTTACTACTCGAGAAGAGGATGCAAATTGAGTTTCATCGCCTTTGCCTGCGACTCTCCCATTTCCTCTGCCCATTGGTCTAACTCTTCCTCTACCTCTTCCCCTGAATGAACAAGAAACGCTCGCTCGCTCTAAATTTGGGTTGTGATAATGAAATAAATGAAACAATATGAAAGTGTACTGTATCACTAAAGAAATGACACCCAAAACGTCCTCCTTATCATCCTCCTCGCCACCAACTATATGCCTGACGGCGATGCGGGCGGAGGACCTCGAATTATTCGAATTCGAGAGGTGGCTGGCCACAAAGCGACTATCAATCAGATCACGCCAGGACTCGTGGACGCATTTGAACCGCATCAGGGGATTTAGGTGGCAACCTTGACAGGATTTGCGCCACCATATCATCCGACAATTTGCAGGAATTTGCCATTAATTAACTTGTCCTCCTCCTCTTCCTCCATCTCTACTTTCCTTTAATCTTGAGCAAAACAAACTGGAACGATGATCACTGAAACTGTTACCTTGATTTTCCGATAGCGTCGACAGCGTCGAGACCAGGAGGACCCACTCAAATTCCTCTCCGCTACGCGAGCGACTGGGAATCCTTCGTTTCCGAGCACTCCTCAGCTTCTTCCCTTCGTCCTTTCCGGTTGGCTCTGACGACTGTAGTCTCTGTGTTTTAGTCAACGCCAGTCAACGCGTACTGACACTGACAATGCTCTGTAGGGTTTCTCTTCGTTTCCAAACACTGGTCTTGCTGTTTGCCGCCGTAACGCTCGCGCTTTCTGGTTTGTGTAAACTGGTTCGGGCCCATTTTGGGTCGAGCATTTGGGCTTTTACGATCTAAAAACATTTGGAACGTGTTTTTTCTGTTTTGGTCCGTCTCAATAATATTCTGCTTCAGTGCTTTCCGAATAGTTAAAAGCACTCCACAAAATTTAAAGTGCTTCTTACAATATTTAGCGAAGAAATATTGTGTGTTTGCAGATTATGAATATTAATTTTTCTCGAAAGTAGCAGATATTGAGTGTTTTCTTAAAGAACCACAGGTTGAGTGCCTCGAAACATGCATTTGGATTTTAATTGACACACTTGCACTAAAAGCACTTCTATTGATTAAGAGAAGATGTAATTTCGAGGGAAGCATCTAAGGGGCCCTTCAAGTTGAGAACTTCTATAACACGAGTACAATGTTATTGTAGCGTGCCTGCATTTGAAGTTCTTCTGCAAACTATATCAGCCTGCATAAGTACTCCAAAGTTAAACGCGTGCATTTGAAGTTCTGCAAACTATATCAACATGCGGAAGTACTCCAAAGTTAAACACATACATTTGAAGTTTTGCAAACTATATCAGCATGCAGAAGTACTCTAAAGTTAAAGGCGTGCATTTGAAGTTCTTCTGCAAGTTATATCAACCTGCGGAAGTAAGTCTTTTTAACTTTGGTTTCATGATTATATCCATACATTTTGAACGCAAAGAATATCATATATGTAACATAAAAAAATATCATACATCCATTCAGAAGCCCGTTGAGTAGCTCGTCAAAACATTATTCCACATAGAGAGAAATAAATAAAGCAATTAAAAGAGCTGCAATCATCAAGCAAATTTGACACTTGATGCATTCAGAACATCTTCTCCTTTGTCATAAATCTGCAACCATATCCTACATACAAGTTCGGTATCCTACTTCCGAGACAAACATCAAAAATTCAATCCGCTATCAAATTTTCCTTCACCTAGTCAGCAATCGTCTTTTGTTTAAAAGTAATGAACGATTCAAAATTAAGTTCCACCTCAAATACGAGACCAGTGGTGTAAGAACAACACTGAACGAAACGAGAGGAGTGATTAGTATCTCAAACTATGCACAAAACGGATGAAGTTAGTGCTGCTGCAAGAACAGATCATGTGGCTTTCATTTGCTTGACTGGGAACTTCTCTTCAGCTTGCTTTTGCCACATATAGTTTGCAGCTTCAATCCACTGTTTATTAACTAAAAACTTCTTTTCTTTGACCGCCCATTTAGACTTCTCCGTGCCAGCATCTCCTGAAACCACATGTGTCACCGATGGGTCCACTTGTGTCGAACAAGAGGCTCCCAACTGCTCTGCCATCTTCCAGAGAGGTTGATTCTCAGCATCGACATTCGAAGGAAATTTGTGGCTGAAAACAATTTTACACCCCTTTAACACATCCTTCTTAACAGTTTTCAACACCTACAAAAATAGCATCCAGAAGAATCCATATTAAATATATGAAGCTAAAGGAAGTAGTCATGTTTTAGTGGTTCTGAAAAAAACTTGTTCACCTGTCTCACCTCTCTTTCAACAAGATTATCCTCCAATTCCTTCAAGATGGCCACCAACAATAGATTAGCACACAAAGAAAGTGTAACTTTTTGCCATCATGGAGATATAAAGTGGTACTTACACATGGTTCATCCTAATGCTATATAAGTTAGGATACTGATTTGTTTCCTCATTTCTTCATTGGTGATTCGTATTTTCGATGATTTTAAGAATGGGTAATAAGTTTTTGTTAAGAGTTAATGTGTTCAGTTTCATTTTTTTTAGTTTCTGTTCTATAAGGTTTTGTGTCTTGTGATTGGAGTGTCATGTGGTTAGAGGTTCTAAAAGACAAACATGACTTTTTTTATTTGGTCAGAGGAGGGGGGAGCAAGTTCTGTTCAAACTTTGGGTTTTCCGATGGCTTGGAAGAAATTATATCACTATTGCTATTACAAGTGTCCAGTTTGCAGAAATGACAAGGCATGCTACAATCTATGCTTCTTTGGTAGATTTGATTCAAATTGGTAGATTTCTGTAAGAAATAAACTTTTATCTTTTCTTTTAGTTAAAGACAGTTAGGACATCAATTTGTAAAAGATATGAATATTAACAATGGTGATAGAACCGCCAATCCATATACTTGTAAATAGATTTCCACATATATGTAAATAGTATTGCATATCGTGTCTATTTATAACTTTCTACATATTTTATACAGTTTTAAACCCGCAGCATCGCGCGGGCACCGTTGTTGTTTCACTATTATTTTTCAGTGTTATTTTGTTGCTGCATAGTGAAATGGCCAAAATGGCCCTGCCTCTTCAATTTGTCGACCCACCATTTCTCTAGATACTTCCCAGTTCCCACATCGTTTTTCTCACCGGGCTGCTTGCCTCTACTCTCCCCGTCTTCCTCGTCGCCTCATCTGCTAAATTCTCTTCGATTCTACCAACCGCCGCAACCGTTCAGACTTTCCCAAAGGTAAATTCTTTTCTCTTCCTTACACAATTTGATATTGATTTTGAAAATAGTGAAACCCCATAAAACAAACTGACTTTCTCAACCGAAGATTACGATATATGTTTCTAAGCCGTTTGCCTTTGGAAGATTTTCAGAGAATAGCTTCAATTGAGTTAGGTTTTCTTCAATTTAATCTCATTAGTTTCATTCCAATTCAATGATTTTGTGTAACGCTGAGTTTTCTGTCGGAGAATAAATTTTCTTCATGGTTCATTCAGTTTTGTTTTATTTTCTGATTTGGATTTTGAAATTGAGACTTCTAGCTTTGCCCTCATCAAGAAAATTTTATTGATTCCAATTGATAAATGTTACCAAGATGGGAAGGGGATCACCAATTTGAATTCAGCTCTTCAGGTATGCATTCATTCCAGATTTAAAACATCACTTCCGTTTAGTATGTTGTTTATCATTTTTTATCACTGTCATGCGGTGTTACTGTCCGTCATTTTAGTTGTTAAAATCTGTTTGTTTGAGTTGTACATAGCGCTCTTAACGTAGAATTAGTAAAATGCAGGTGTAGAATGAACGACTAATCAATGTGGGAAAATGTATATAACTGTAACTTAGAAATCTCCCATTTTGATTGCACATATGCTCTTGATGTAAAGTAAATAAAATGTAATGCAACTTAAAGATTGATTTTACCATGTTGGTTTAGCTATTCTGTTAATTTTTGAAATATTTAGAAATGAATGGGTTGATTTGTGATTTTATGGAATTTTCAGAAGTATTTATTTTGTGTATAATGACCCTGCGTAAAGCGGGAGCCTTGTGCACTGGGTACGACCTTTTTTTTTTTATATGTGTTTGTGAATGCAGTTAAGTTGTTGGTAGCTTTTGAGAATCAATCGATTATTTTGTACTGTTTTTCAAACTTTCTCTCTTTTTTTGGGAAATGACTCATATTTGCTATAAACTATGAATTTAAAACCCGCAGCGGAGCGTGGCACTTTTGCTAGTTTTGACCTAGAAGCAATTGGAAACGGGAAACGTAATTCCAACTACTTAGTTGATAACACTGAATTTGATCAAGTAGAAATGTTATACAAAGCAAACTTATCGAGCCCCATTATTGTAATACAACATAACAAATGCTGAAGCACCAGAAATCATAAAATACATGCGTTGGCCTTGAAGGCCCCAAACATTTCTCCAGCCGGTAGACACATCAAGCTAAGTTCGGCGTCCCCTCGTCGCCCGTGCAGTTGTTGACTTCCTCCTCCTCCTGAATGTCTCCACAAACCATTCATGCTTCTTGTCTGCCAACATGTTTCCAGCGACCACTCCCACTACTAGTCCGCTAACAACTCCCGGCAAAACTACATACCAGTCAAACTCAAATGTAAATCCAGCCTCTTCATCTTCTTCAAAGCTTGATGGTGGCGGCAGCCTCGAGCTTTCAGAACCCTCGCATTTCTTGGACAAAGGCTTTCCACACAGACCTGAGTTTCCTTGGTATGAATCTTCTAGGAATGTACCAAATTGTTGGCCAAGTGGTATTTGCCCCCAAAGGTGGTTATGCGACACGTTGAAATACTCAAGGAAAGTGAGTTGTGCCAAGCTACCGGGGATCCTTCCTGAGAGCTTGTTTTGAGAGAGATCCAACGATTCAAGAGCAGTCAAGTTCCCTAGAGATGAAGGGATGTGACCAGAGAGAGCGTTGTTGGAGAGGTTTAGCAAATGAAGTGCTCTTAGACTCCCAATGATACTTGCTGGAATCTCTCCTTCAAATCTATTACTTGAGAAATCTATGAGTCTCAGATCATAGGGGGTCTTATCATATGTCAACTTAACACCTTTTACAGGAATTATCATCGAGTATGAAAATTCATAAGATCCATATTTATTTGTGTTGTAGTCCGATGAGACTAGAAAGTATCGGCTTCCCTTGTTTGCAACAACATATTTCATGAAATTCCAGTTCTCCATGTACTTAGAAGGCAACATACCTGAAAACAGATTGTTGGATAAATCAATGATGCACAAGTTTGGGAACTCATGATTAGTTGGAGGCTTCCCAATTATCCCATTAAATGCATTCGACCGCAAAATGAGAACCCTCAATACTGGAAGTACCCCTAACCAAGAAGGGAAGATGTCACTGATCTGATTGTTGCCAATGTCAAGAAACTCTAACTGGGTGCAATCGGCCATTGATCTTGGTAGCTTCCCCTGTAGCCGATTGTAACTCAACCCAACCAATTTCAAACTATTTCTGTTAGCACAAAATGGGGGAATATCTCCATGGAAAGAATTAAACTTCAATTTCAGTATCTCCAAGCTACTGGACTTCCCCAAACATCGTGGAAGCATGCCTCTCAGGCTGTTGTTGGCCAAATCAAAAAATTGAAGATAATTCAAGTTGCAGAACAATGGTGAAACTTCTCCACTATAATTATTGTTGCCGACATCGTAGGACGTGATAGATTGTGGTGGAATTGGCAATGACCCTCGTAACCGATTATCCCCAAGACTTAAAAGCTGTAGATTTTTCCATGGAAGAGTGACTGGATTTTCCTCAAAGCCTGTTAAGAAGTTCGAAGAGAGGTCGAGATTGAGCAGAGTTTCTCTAGTTGCATTCCAGAGCCATTTTGGTATTTGGCCATGAATATTGTTACCAGAAAGTTCTAAGGCTCCCAATTCGTATTGATTTTTCAAAAATTCTGGAAACTCTGTCAAGTTGCAGTCATCCAACTCTAGAACTTCGAACTTTGGAAGAGTAGCACTCGAACCAGATTTGACACGCACGGATAACTTGTTGCACGCTAAACCAAGTACCTTCAACTTTTTGAGGTTGGAAAACTCATCAAACTCAACTAATCCACTCAAATTATTATAGGAAAGGCCAAGACGTTCAAGATTTCTGAGGTGGAAAAGCGATTTAGGAATTGCTCCTTGCAAATCGTTGCGGGTGAGCCGCAGAAAAGTTAATTGGGTCAACTCTAATGCGAGCCAAGATGGGATTTCACCAGTTATTGAATTGTTAAGCAAGTCTAGAAACACAAGTTGGGTGAGGTTAGCCACAAAACGTGGGAAATTCCCCTGTAAGTTAATATTCGAAAGACCCAAGTAGTTGAGCTTGGTTAATTTTCCAAAACAAGACAAGGAATCAGGAACTAAGAATTGGCCTGCGGAAACGTCATGAAATAAAGCCATCTTAAGGAAACTGAGCTGGGTAAGGTTTCCAAATGAAGATGGAACATGGGAATCAAAACCACAGTATGAGATATCAAAGTAATTTAAGGAATGAAGGTTTCCGATAGAACTAGGAAGTTTACCAGAGAAATTTGTCTCTGAAACATCTAATGTTTTGAAGGAATTGGTCCTGTTAAAAGTAGGAAAATAACCATTTAGGTCTGTGTTCGAGTACAATCTAAGCTCCTCTAAATTTGGTAGGTGGAAAATGCCTACTGGGAATTCCCCATACAACCCACAAGAGCTTAGATTGAGAGATGTGAGAGAAGATGCGTTGACCAAGATATCAGGCACAGTGGAGTATATGCCTACATCACTAAGATGAAGTTGTTTTATGCTGGTCAAGTTTTGGACTAGGATTCTTATGTTGGACTTCCTAAGCTCCAAACCATGATTGTAAGACAGAACAAGGGTAGACAGTTTGGATAGCTTTGAAATTTCAGATGGAATTTGGCCAGAAAATGCAGACCTTGAAAGGTTGAGATAGGATAGACTCGAAAGGTCATGGCCCAATCTCGATGGTATTTCAGAGGAATTGAAGTTGTTATCTGAGAGGTCAAGCTTCTGCAAGTGAACAAGTCGGAAGAGGGTGCTGTTGGAATTGATAGAACCATAGAGACAGCTGCTCTTGAGGTCAAGGCCAATGACACGGCCAGACTCCGCATGGCACTCAACACCATCCCACGAACAACAGTTACTTTGATTTTGATCTCCTTCTCGAGCCCAAGATGCTACCTTCGGATAAGCAAAATGAGATCTAGAAGCTGACTTGTCTACCATAAAGCTTTCCTTGAATTGTAACAAGAAGGAATGCTCGTCAGCGTGGCACAGTGTCCGTGTCTGAGTCTGCACAAATGAAAAACAGTGAGTAGCATTGAGTAATAGCAGAAGAAGACAATGCAAACAGGTAAACTTGGACAACAAAGAATCCATTTTCATGGCAGTGTGTTTTTTCTGGTTATAGGAAATATTGTTTTATGGCTCTCGGATAATTAAGAGTGGAGAAGTTAACTCCTTTTATAGACACAACTCATGCAAAACATAAATAAATAAAAAGTATGAGTCGATCGATGTGTGGGTGGTGAATTGATGTCTCGATCAATTGAAGACTTAAAGCTAACCATGCATTCAAAGTGACATGCCGACAAATCGATGGTAGTCTTTCGAAGCTAACTAATATCCTATTCAGCAGTTACACATATTTTTGGGTGCGCACAATATTAATTATAGGATAAATTATATTTTATATGAGTGCAATTTCAACCTCATACAATATCTTTAAAACATTTCAATCTCATACATAAACTTATATTTTGTTGTAATTTCATACGTTCGTTAATTAAACAGTTCATTTGACCGTTAAATTATGACGTGGCAAATGCATGACCCACATATTTGATGACATGGCATATAAAAAATAATTAATTATAAAAAAACAATTTAAACAAATAATTAAATTAAAAGAAAATAAAAAAGAGGCCCACCCCTCTTCTCCCATACGAGCAAAGGACCTCCATCTCTATCTCCTTCTTTCTCCAGCACCACCACCCATCCCATACAACCTCCATGTCAATCCCCCCCTTCCCAATCCCTAAACCCCATTCCCAAATTTTCTAAATTTCTTCTGATTCTTCGTCTTCCCCAAATCTCCTAATATATTTCCTCAGTTTTCGCTCTCAATCCGAAAAAAAAAACCCAGAAAATTTCCTGGATCGGAAGCTGAGTTTGCGTCTGAATTAGCTTCCTTTTTCGACTGGCTTATGAGGAGGGGTCGAGATCGACAGCTCTCTGTGCTCCTGCCCTTAGTCTTAGGTGTAGCCGCCTCCGCCGCAACACGACCGGAAGACCCAGATGGAGAAAATCCGGAAAGACGAAACCCGCGGGAAGGAATCGTCCCCATCAACGCGTGGTGGTGAACGAAGGGCATTCGGACCTGGACTTGCTGCTGCAGGGGCTAGGTGGCAAGGATAGTCAGCCGCCGGTGTCGAAGGCGTCAATCCACGCCATGCCGTGTGTCAAGATTTGGGAATCATATTTGGATTCAAATAGGTTGTGTAAATTTCAACTTTGATGATGGTGATGCAAAAAGGGTGATGCAGAAAGAAGGGGATGGCTGGTTGTGTTGCAGAAAGAAGGAGATGAAGATAGAACATTTGTTCGGGTGGGAGAAGAGGGGTGGGCCCCATTTTTATTTTGTTTTAATTTAAATTTTCATTAAATTGTTTTTTATAATTAATTATTTTTATATGCCACATCATCAAATATGTGGATCATGCATTTGTTACGTCGTTAAATTAATAGTTCAATTAACGGATTGTATGAAATTACAACAAAATATAAGTTTATGTATGTGATTGAAATGTTTTAAAAATATTGTATAAGGTTGTAATTGCCCCCAAACCTAAAGGGGTAAAATGTAATTTACCCTTAATTATATATTGTAGGATGTAACATGATTAATTTTATAGAAAACTAGATTTTAATCCTTAAAAAAGATAAAGTTTAGAAAAATATCTTATACAAGATTAAAATTTGATTTTAGTCTTTAGACTCTATTTAAGTATCTTATATAAGAAAATATTTTCGTAGATATTTTTCGGTACACTTATGTTTTTTCATATTTTCTTATGTGCCACTAATTCATTACAATATATTTAGGTATGAATATTTCGGGTACACTTATATTTTTTCATATTTTCTTATGTGCCATTAATTCATTACAATATATTTAGGTATGAACATTTCGGTACACTAGGTTAGTATAATATGTTTAGGTACGGACATTTCGGTACACTAGTTTAGTATAATATATTTAGGTACCAACATTTCTGTATATTAGTTTAGCATCACATATTTAGGTATGAAATTTTTCGATACACTTATGTTTTTGCATATCTTCTTATGTGCCACAAATTCACTACAATATATATAGGTACAGACATTTCAGTACACTAATTTAGTAAAATATATTATGATACGAACGTTTAGGTACACTAATTAGAGGAAGTAAAATAAAATTAATGAATTAAAATATGTATAATAATAAATTTTAATTTTAATGTAATGACATTAAATAAGATATCTATTAAATATTAAAAAAAATGTAATATGAATTTGAATTAAGTATACATTAGAGAACTACAATCAATATCCAATCCAACACCAGATTTTTATTGAATTTTAATCTTCTTCAAGGATTAAAGTTCAAAAACCCCTTAATTTTAATGTCGTAAGATTATTGATTACTATGCGGTAGTACCAAATTTTTCTGAAGTGATGAATCATCATTTTATAGACTTCATCGTACCTTTTCGCGAGAGTTGTGAGACTTCTCTGAATGGTCATATCCATTCAAGGAATGACACATCATTTATAGAAGGGTATAACCTTTATCAGTGGCAGATCCAGGATTTCAGTGTCTAGTTGTCCCAATTTTAAAGCTCAAAAATAGAAAGACCAAAATAACATTGAAAATATAAATGACAAAATCAATACCATTTACCCGTGTACTAAAATAAAAAAATAAGTACAACTACATAGCGTATAACTCATGTAGTTAATGTGAGACTATCAAGACCCTTGTCATTAATACATTGATAAACATTGTGTTGATCACTTGAGTAACAAGTTCTCACAATATGAACTAATAAATAAATCATGCACCCCAAAAATAACTTGCATAACTAAATCCTAATTACGGTTTTGGGATCAAAGAGAACAATGGAAGACGTTCGCAAACCTAAAGGCTAAAAGTTATTCAATTTGAAAATCTTTTAACCATTCATATACATAAAACAAATAAACAGTTCATCATGATTATGCAACTTGTTACTAAAAACGTTGATTGGCTTGACATGAATGAATGACTAAAAGATCTCTGAATTGAAGGATTTTTGCAGATATGATTATGATAAAGAGAATAAACAGTTTTGATATGATGTTCATACAGTGAAAATACGTTAATCGTAAGTGAGGGGACAAACATTATCCAAAAAAGTGTATGATAGTACTTGTACTCCCCGGGAGATGAGCACATTCTCCCACTTACAAATAAAGTATCTTAACCGTAGAAATTTCATAATCAAAATCGTTCAATTTCTTAATCTTCATTTAAAAATCATCCCTATAAATATCATTCGAATTAGATATTGTTTAATCATCTAAATGTAACAAATAAATCAATAGTTTATCATAAATATGTTAGTTGGTACTTACACCGTTAATTTGTTTGATACATTTGGATCTAAATGACCTCTGATTCAAATGATTTTCTTGTGGAGATGATTTTCAAATAAATCTTACAAAATTGAAATGTTCCATTTATAAAAAGAAAAACTAATGAAAAGAGTTTGAAAACTTTGAGTTTTAATGATAAAAACAAAATAAAGGGTAAAGTGAATAGTACCAGATTTGACTTTTTAGTGTAAAAATGTGATTTTTCATTAAAATGAATAGTACCGCAGACTTTTCGTTAAAACTCCCTTTATAAAATTTATGCTATAAAGATTCACTATTTGTAAATGGAGAAATAAGCTCATTCCAAAAAGTGAACACAAGTATTATTCTTCACAAAACATATGCAAACAAAATATGGGGATGAGTGATGAGCCATTGAGTGGTGACAAAAAGAAATGAAAGAGAAAACCAAACAAGGAGACAATGAAGTCAATAAAATGCCGATCTCGATCACTCGAAGACTTGGAAGTCATATGAGTCGTTTGCAAGTAAACATCTCTAGCTAACCTACAAGTCTACCATTAATGTTGTTGTTACTTATTGGCATTGGGTATCATGCAATTGTCTCAGTTGAAGTCAAGCTATTAAGGACAAATTTGCCTTGTCCCACGTGATAAGGTATCGCTAATTAGTAATTACCACTCATGTTCTTGTCATGATAAATACTAAAAGTGACATTAAGAAAAAATAGAAATTGCATTTATAATTCAGTAATACAAAAGACCAACACAAGGGTTACATCAATAGCATCTTAAACATGTAGAGTTCCTTTGGTGTATCCAAATTTTCGTCAACTTAAATCACTTGACACACTTTAGAGTGTAATACCGTTATTTTCTTGCCTACAAACCCTTAACATTTCATATAGGTTGCGAATATAACGTCTAATTTAATCTCTAAACTTAACTTACACTATTTCTTATGAAAAACTACTAATTTACCTCCAAAGACACTATTTCTTTATGAAAAACTATCAATCTACCCTTCAATGTGTATTACATGCAAGTACCCTGACTTAAACTAACGGAAAATTGAATATAGTAGCTTTGACTATAATATTCAATTTCCATACACTAGCCTTCATGCACGCGCTCAAGCGCGTGCAGAAGACATTTTTTGAATCACGGCATGCTACACGTGACTTACACGCTTTAATTGTATTTATATGCGTAAATTGACAAAAGAAAAGTCAAATATTTGAAGTAAATGAATAATCTTATATCATGCTCAAAGAAACCCCTCATAAATCAATAAAGCAGCTGAATTCACATAATAAAATCAGTCTCTATTGAATTTATATTAAGAATAGAGAAAATAATATTTAATAAACAACTGATTGAATCATATTATTGCTAGCCCATTGTGAGGCTAAGCCCACCCTCTCTCCCTTAGTGTAAATAATATCGTTTGTTCAAAAAAAAAACAAAAAACAAATAAACAACTGATTGAATCACATTATTGCTAGCCCATTGTGAGGCTAAGCCCACCATCCTCCCCTTTAGTGTGGATAATATCATTTGTTCACAAAAAAAAAAAAATCATTTGACAACTAATTTAATCACATTATTATCTGCGTGCGAAAGACCTTTTTTATAACCGGCATTACAACCTCTTAAGATGAAAATTGCATTATTCCAACTTGGAACCTGCCACTCATGTTCCTTAAAGACTTAAAAAGTAAACCGTATGATTTTTCCTCTATTTTAGGTCATGTGTCAACGAGTACCCCACTATTTAGACAACCCTTTTTCTAATTATTACATTTTTTTGTTAATTTTAAATGAATGTCTCACTCCATAACTTCAAGACCGTTCTTCAAATCAACGTAACACATCAATCAGGATCCTCATATATATAAATAGTTGATTTTTCAAACTTGTTGAAATTTGATTAGTTCAACTTTCTCACCTTTTGAAATTTCTATGGAAGAATAATCCTCCGGATGCCAAAAAATCTTTTGGTATAGCCAACTGATATGACAGCCTTCATTCCAAACTTATATTGTATGCGTGTTGACTGTTGGGTATCCCAGATCCATGAAGTTTCTTGATTCACCAAGCACCCACGCACGTCCAACTACAACCAAACTATAGTGTTTAGTTTATGATTCACTAGCCTTCATGCATGTGTGTGAGTGTTTAGTTTATGATTCACTAACCTTCATGCACGCGCTCACGCACGTGCAGAAAGCATTTTTTGAATCACGGCATGCTACGCGTGACTTACACGTTTTAAATGTATTTATATGCGTAAATTGACAAAAGAAAAGTCAAATATTTGAAGTAAATGAATAATCTTAGATCATGCTAGAAGAAACCACTCATAAATCAATTAAAGCAGCTGAATCCACATAATAAAATCGGTCTCTATTGAATTTATATTAAGAATAGAGAAAATAATATTTAATAAACAACTGAGTGAATCACATTATTGCTAGTCCATTGTGAGGCTAAGCCCACCCCTCCCCCTTAGTGTAGATAATATCGTTTGTTCAAAAATAAAAAAATAAATAAACAAATATTGAATCGCATTATTGTTAGCTCATTGTGAGGCTAAACACACCCCCCCCTCTCCCTTAGTGTGGATAATATCATTTGTTCACAAAAAAAAAACAATCATTTGACAACTAATTTAATCACATTATTATCCGCGTGCGAAATACTTTTTTTTTATAACTGGCATTACAACCTCTTAAGATGAAAATTGCATTATTCCAACTTGGAACCTGCCACTCTTGTTCCTTAAAGACTTAAAAAGTAAACTGTATGATTTTTCCTCTATTTTAGGTCATGTGTCAACGAGTACCCCACTATTTAGACAACCCTTTTTCTAATTATTACATTTTTTTTGTTAATTTTAAATGAATGTCTCACTCCACAACTTCAAGACCGTTCTTCAAATCAACGTAACACATCAATCATGATCCTCCTATATATAAATAGTTGATTTTTCAAACTTGTTGAAATTTGATTAGTTCAACTTTCTCATCTTTTGAAATTTCTATGGAAGAATAATCCTCCGGATGCCAAAAAATCTTTTGGTATAGCCAACCGATACGACAGTTTTCATTCCTAACTTATATTGTATGCGTGTTGACTGTTGGGTATCCCATATCCATGAAGTTTCTTGATTCACCAAGCACCCATGCACTTCCAACTACAACCAAACTATTGTGTTTAGTTTATGATTCACTAGCCTTCATGCACGCGCTCATGCACGTGCAGAAGACATTTTTTGAATCATGACATGCTACGCGTGACTAACACGTTTTAAATGTATTTATATGCGTAAATTGACAAAAGAAAAGTCAAATATTTGAAGTAAATGAATATAACAAACACAAAAGAAGATCAATGACCAACATGTGACTTTTTGGATGGAATTTGGGTAAATTTGAAGCTAGGGAGAAATTATCTATTCTGCTGCTTGTGAGTTGTGAGAAGAAGATAGAACGACATGGGCTTGCGGGTTGCTAGTGTTTTTGCCTTGGCGCCTTGTCTCGCACGTGTGAGTGTGTGGATTGTTTTGTTTTGTTTTGTTTTTTTTTTTTTTTTTTTTTTGAAGAAAATAGTTTTAAATTTTATAGACTTAAAAACGTAGCATGTTAGATTGTCTGGTAAGAGAAAATGTTTTTTTTTTGCGGATACATAACATATTATATGTTGTCAAGCTATGAATTAGACATCACCTAATTAATAATTTAGATTGACAGTCTGACAACATAACATGTTAGATTATGTAGCAATAGACCATTTCTTATAGGGTATAAAAAAAAATGTTAGTTGTCAAGTTACGTTGAGACATCACTTTCTGTTCATTAATTCGAATTGACAATTTGACGATATAATATATCAAATTATTTAATACCACACTTTTTCTCGACAAATCATCATGATGTGTTTCAAGTTTAACCCTACTTTCTTGTCTCTTTTTTTGTCAAAATGCAATCATGTGGCTTAGCAAGAAAAGTTCCATCAACTTGATCATTCCATTGATGACAACATGAACTTCCGCAAAATAAGTTGAATCCTAAGTTAGTTGTCTTGGTAGAACACATCCAACACCAAAATAAATGTTTTCCACGTTTTGGTTTTTTTTGACAAAAATAAACTCAAATGCTTTGATTTACAGGGAGGAGGATATGAACTTGGGCACAAGGGGGATGAGGCGGGAACATTGTTTTGGTCAACTGGCTCAACTCACGAAATGCAAATGTTTCACATTATTAACATTGTACATTTTGGGTTGAAATATATAAATAACTAAATCATACATGAAAATAAAAATAAAATATTATGAATATTAAACATCGATCCATATCAATTCATTATTCAAGTGAATAGTAATTGCCTGAATCCACTCGTAAAGCCCGATTCCACTCCTAAAACCACAAAAATAGGTGGAAATACTCTCTAGCAATGAAGATAAACTTACTTGGGAGGAAATTCCCCTAGTGAAAATTATAGTCAAATGTTGCTACTTCAAATGAAAGATGTAAAAACGATTTTTGTACAACTATTGTCCTGTGGCATGCCACGTCATCAATTAACTATCCCTGACAGAATGGCTAACGAAAGTACAAAAGTGTCACAACATTCAAGCTTTAGGTATGAAAACGAAAAAAAAATTAGGTATGAAAGTTGAAATTTCCCGATACTTGAGATAGTAAAGATAGAATAACCCATAAAATAAAATACAAGAGCTGCAATAGGTAATAAAAATAGAGTTGCTCCATTAAAACAGAAAACCAAATTCCATACATTGAAGTTCATAAGATAGAGAAGAAAAGACCCACAATCAAATTTGCACGACCAACTCAGCACTGTCTTTTCTACTTAGCCTAATTAACATTTCAAAATACAGTCCATCACAACAACGAAATTCAAGTCGAACACGAGGCCCCCTACTACTTTGCCATCGCCAAGAGAAACAAGGACAAAACGGCACCTTTCTTGTCCAAGTACAACATGTAGACGTTTTTGATGTTTTCAATGCCATCATCGCACGATATCACTCTATCACCGAAGTACTCTTTCCTGAGATCCAGCAGCTTAGCCATTTCCAGTGCATAGGCTCATATAGGCCTTGGGTAAAAGTACATCTCGAACGATACACTGGATATAAGTAATTGGGGAAAAACATAAGAGCACGCACATGCATGTACACAAGATAAGGTACTGAATCAGCATGAATAAAATCTAAACAATCTCATTTTCCGTCAGAAGCACGCTACTAAAATGAGAAAAACAGAAGTGATAAACTGATTAAAACTAGTTATAATCATGTAGAACTGGAGGGAACAAACAACACCTCCCAAAGGAGGGTGCATACCATGAAAATTTAAACACTAATCATGTTATAAAAACAAAAACACGTGAAGGAAAAGCATAACATACCTTCCAGAGTCTCTGTCTGGCTCTATGGCCAGAGGCTGGTCGCCTCCCTTGACAGAAACAAGACTTTCTGCATAAAGAACAGCTTGAATATATAGTGGGTTTTCAATGCCATGTATAGGAAGGTATTTGAGGTTTCGAGTGCGTAGGTTATAGGAGACAACGTCTCCATCAGTGGCCGCCAGAAGAAGCTCGTCATTCTTCCAAAATATCAATGGAATCTCAATCCTTGGTACAGATTCGATTGTTAAGCGTCTCTTACTCCATGGACTTTTTACCCCATCACTAGAGTCATCCATCACCCATATATCAAAGATAGAAAGTCCAGTTCCTTCATCTTTGCGGTAGCAGAACAAAGCAATGGATTCCTTCCATAATGCAAGACTGCAATTCCATGCAAATCTTTCCAGAGAATCATACGGAACTGGTATCTTATCAAATACCTCCTCACCCATATCAAATGTAAGGATGAAATCATTATTTTGTAGATCAGTAGCAAACCAATGATAAACACCCTTGAAGTAGACATAAAAAGAAGGTGTCCAGATGACAGAAAAATCGATCTCAAACTTGACCTCTCTCCAAGAATCAACACCTAAAGTGTATACCTCTGCTATTCTAGGCCCCGGCAAAAATTTCACAATTCTAACAACCTTGTATGCTTTAGCTTTGGAATCATACCCAAATCCAACGGCATTGGTAATGGTATCCACTCTATCAGCAACATCTGGCTCTGGGGGAGGCAGGAGAAGACAAGGCTGGGGAAGAAGCTGAAATTCCATGATCGCTGGATTGACTAAACCAATATCCTCGGGACAAAAGTGAATACTTAGACAGAAAATCCCATCACAGTAACCCAGAATTTCAAAATTTGGAGAAGATACACTCAACAAAGGATACGCAACACTAAGATCCTCAACACAGTCATCACTATCGCTAAAATCCTCTGAAACATTAAGCAATGACAATAAAACGTGCTTCCTATGATCCCTCAGATTTTTAACAGTATGTTTTACAACAATGCTGGTGGAGGAATCTGATTTCGAATTCGAGTTAGAAAGGTGACTCGCCACAAAGCTAGGACTATCAATTAGATCACACCACAACTTACGGACACATTTGAATCGCATCAAGGATTTAGGTGGCAATCGAGACAGGATTTGCACCACCATATCATCCGTAAAATTACACGACTTTGCCATTAACTAATTAATTAATTTCTCCTCCTCTACTTTTCCTTTTATGCTTTTCAGCAAATTAAATAAGGCGGCAGAATGATGGAGCAAGATCAAGGGGACATCTTACCTTGGATTTCCGATCGTGCTGAGTCCAAGAGCAGGAATTTATTAAACTTCAAAATCCACTCAAATTCCTCATCGGAGTGACTGAGATTCCTTCATTTCCAAACACTCATTGTTTCTTCCTTCCACTCGGCTCTGAACTCTCTGTTATAGTCAATGCTCAGTCATACTGATATTTCTCTCTAGGGTTTCTTCTTCTTCTTTTGCTGCTGTTTGATGATGGAACGGGCTCAGGGCCCCCTTTGGACTTTTGTAAGCTAAAAAGGAAAAAATATATTGTCCAAATGTGGGTGTCATTTATTATCTGTCTCGAGAACATACTTTACGTTACACGTTACATCAAGAGAGAAGTGCACAATAACCCATATATATATATATATTGGTGCAGCTCTCTATTCATTCAGAAGCTGCAATCTGTAATGGAAAGAGATCAAGAGTTTGCGTTGTTGAGCAAATTTGACACCGTATTCTATATACAAGCTCAAAGTAGCCACTCATCAGCATCCTAATTTTGAGACAACATAAAAAATTCATATGATCACCTATCAAATTTGCCCCACCTAGTCAGAAATCATATTGCTATTTAGCCTAACGAAAAATTCAAAAGTTAGTACACATCGAAAACGACATTCACTACTTTTATTTATGAGACAATGATGCCCTATTAAATGGCGGCTCAGTTTACTCTCGAGGATTGCTGATTAAGTAAGCTCGAGAGGAACAGGTCTAAACTAGACGAGAGGAGTAAACTATTCAAACTATGCACAACAAGGATATGGTTAGTGCTTACAAGGAACTTTCTCTTCAGGTTGCTTTCGGTTGCACAACTCCGACGGCAGATTATATACTTCATGGCTTAGTGTTTGGATCTTCCCCCGGGCTTGGCAATGACCAAAGTGGATGGTCAGAAGGGCAAGTCTTGTGAAGTTGCCATTGCTCCACTGGCCCTGCCTTGACCTCTTCCTCTTGTCACAGTTTGCGAAGACGATGGCAATGCAGCAGATCGCTGAGTGAACTCCATTCGCCTTGATCAGGGCATGGCCCAACTACCTCTTCCTCTTCCTCCTCGCACCTAAACCCTAAAAGCAATATCAAACTAAGCCTTAAGTTAACAAAGTAAATTATGCATGTAAATTATGCATGCACTTGGTGCGATGGCAAGTGCCTTCGCCCATGAGCGGTAGGTCTCGGGTTCGAGACTTGGGAGAAGCCTCTCCATAAATGGGGTAAGGCTAGCCGACATTCACCTCTCCCAGACCCTGCGTAAAACGGGAGCCTTGTGCACTGGTACGACTGCTCGAGAAGAGGATGCAAATTGAGTTTCATCGCCTTTGCCTGCGACTCTCCCATTTCCTCTGCCCATTGGTCTAACTCTTCCTCTACCTCTTCCCCTGAATGAACAAGAAACGCTCGCTCGCTCTAAATTTGGGTTGTGATAATGAAATAAATGAAACAATATGAAAGTGTACTGTATCACTAAAGAAATGACACCCAAAACGTCCTCCTTATCATCCTCCTCGCCACCAACTATATGCCTGACGGCGATGCGGGCGGAGGACCTCGAATTATTCGAATTCGAGAGGTGGCTGGCCACAAAGCGACTATCAATCAGATCACGCCAGGACTCGTGGACGCATTTGAACCGCATCAGGGGATTTAGGTGGCAACCTTGACAGGATTTGCGCCACCATATCATCCGACAATTTGCAGGAATTTGCCATTAATTAACTTGTCCTCCTTCTCTTCCTCCATCTCTACTTTCCTTTAATCTTGAGCAAAACAAACTGGAACGATGATCACTGAAACTGTTACCTTGATTTTCCGATAGCGTCGACAGCGTCGAGACCAGGAGGACCCGCTCAAATTCCTCTCCGCTACGCGAGCGACTGGGAATCCTTCGTTTCCGAGCACTCCTCAGCTTCTTCCCTTCGTCCTTTCCGGTTGGCTCTGACGACTGTAGTCTCTGTGTTTTAGTCAACGCCAGTCAACGCGTACTGACACTGACAATGCTCTGTAGGGTTTCTCTTCGTTTCCAAACACTGGTCTTTCTGGTTTGTGTAAACTGGTTCGGGCCCATTTTGGGTCGAGCATTTGGGCTTTTACCATTTTGGAACGTGTTTTTTCTTTTTTGGTCCATCTCAATAATATTCTGCTTCAGTGCTTTCCGAATAGTTAAAAGCCCTCCAAAAAATTTAAAGTGCTTCTTACAATATTTAGCGAAGAAATATTGTGTGTTTGCAGATTATGAATATTAATTTTTTTCTCGAAAGTAGCAGATATTGAGTGTTTTCTTAAAGAAGCACAGGTTGAGTGCCTCGAAACATGCATTTGGATTTTAATTGACACACTTGCACTAAAAGCACTTCTATTGATTAAGAGAAGATGTAATTTCGAGTGAAGCATCTAAGGGGCCCTTCAAGTTGAGAACTTCTATAACACGAGTACAATGTTATTGTAGCGTGCCTACATTTGAAGTTCTTCTGCAAACTATATCAGCCTGCATAAGTATTCCAAAGTTAAACGCGTGCATTTGAAGTTCTGCAAACTATATCAACATGCGGAAGTACTCCAAAGTTAAGCACATACATTTGAAGTTTTGCAAACTATATCAGCATGCAGAAGTACTCTAAAGTTAAAGGCGTGCATTTGAAGTTCTTCTGCAAGTTATATCAACCTGCGGAAGTAAGTCTTTTTAACTTTGGTTTCATGATTATATCCATACATTTTGAATGCAAAGAATATCATATATGTAACATAAAAAAATATCATACATCCATTAAGAAGCCCGGTGAGTAGGTCGTCAAAACATTATTCCACATAGAGAGAAATAAATAAAGCAATTAAAAGAGCTGCAATCATCAAGCAAATTTGACACTTGATGCATCCAAAACATCTTCTCCTTTGTCATAAATCTGCAACCATATCCTACATACAAGTTCGGTATCCTACTTCCGAGACAAACATCAAAAATTCAATCCGCTATCAAATTTTCCTTCACTTAGTCAGCAATCGTCTTCTGTTTAAAAATAATGAACGATTCAAAATTAAGTTCCACCTCAAATACGAGACCAGTGGTGTAAGGACAACACTGAATGAAACGAGAGGAGTGATTAGTATCTCAAACTATGCACAAAACGGATGAAGTTAGTGCTGCTGCAAGAACAGATCTTGTGGCTTTCATTTGCTTGACTGGGAACTTCTCTTCAGCTTGCTTTTGCCACATATAGTTTGCAGCTTCAATCCACTGTTTATTAACTAAAAACTTCTTTTCTTTGACCGCCCATTTAGACTTCTCCGTGCCAGCATCTCCTGAAACCGCATGTGTCACCAATGGGTCCACTTGTGTCGAACAAGAGGCTCCCAACTGCTCTGCCATCTTATAGAGAGGTTGATTCTCAGCATCGACATTCGAAGGAAATTCGTGGCTGAAAACAATTTTACACCCCTTTAACACATCCTTCTTAACAGTTTTCAACACCTACAAAAATAGCATCCAGAAGAATCCATATTAAATATATGAAGCTAAAGGAAGTAGTCATGTTTTAGTGGTTCTGAAAAAAACTTGTTCACCTGTCTCACATCTCTTTCAACAAGATTATCCTCCAATTCCTTCAAGATGGCCACCAACAATAGATTAGCACACAAAGAAAGTGTAACTTTTTGCCATCATGGAGACATAAAGTGGTACTTACACATGGTTCATCCTAATGCTATATAAGTTAGGATACTGATTTGTTTCCTCATTTCTTCATTGGTGATTCGTATTTTCGATGATTTTAAGAATGGGTAATAAGTTTTTGTTAAGAGTTAATGTGTTCAGTTTCATTTTTTTTAGTTTCTGTTCTATAAGGTTTTGTGTCTTGTGATTGGAGTGTCATGTGGTTAGAGGTTCTAAAAGACAAACATGACTTTTTTTATTTGGTCAGAGGAGGGGGGAGCAAGTTCTGTTCAAAATTTGGGTTTTCCGATGGCTTGAAAGATATTATATCACTATTGCTATTACAAGTGTCCAGTTTGCAGAAATGACAAGGCATGCTACAATCTATGCTTCTTTGGTAGATTTGATTCAAATTGGTAGATTTCTGTAAGAAATAAACTTTTATCTTTTCTTTTAGTTAAAGACAGTTAGGACATCAATTTGTAAAAGATATGAATATTAACAATGGTGATGGAACCCCCAATCCATATAGTTGTAAATAGATTTCCACATATATGTAAATAGTATTGCATATCGTGTCTATTTATAACTTTCTACATATTTTATATAGTTTTAAAGCCGTAGCATCGCGCGGGCACCGTTGCTAGTTATCTATACTAAAGCTCAATAAAATAAAAACACTGTTCTTAAGTACAGTGAAAGGACAGAAAAGCCCCTGTTTCACTATTATTTTTCAGTGTTATTTTTTTTATGCATAGTGAAATGGCCAAAATGGCCCTGCCCCTTCAATTTGTCGACCCACCGTTTCTCTAGATACTTCCCAGTTCCCACATTGTTTTTCCCACCGTGCTGCTTGCCTCTACTCTCCCCTTCTTCCTCGTCTCCTCATCTGCTAAATTCTCTTCGATTCTACCAACCGCCGCAACCGTTCAGACTTTCCCAAAGGTAAATTCTTTTCTCTTCCTTACACAATTTGATTTTGATTTTGAAAATAGTGAAACCCCCATAAAACAAACTGACTTTCTCAACCGAAGATTATGATATATGTTTCTAAGCGGTTTGCCTTCAGAAGATTTTCAGAGAATAGCTTCAATTGAGTTAGGTTTTGATCAATTTAATCTCATTAGTTTCATTCCAATTCAATGATTTTGTGTAACGCTGAGTTTTCTGTTGGAGAATAAATTTTCTTCATAGTTCATTCAATTTTGTTTTATTTTCTGATTTGGATTTTGAAATTGAGACTCCTAGTTTTGCCCTCATCAAGAAAATTTTATTGATTCCAATTGATAAATGTTACCAGGATGGGAAGGGGATCACCAATTTGAATTCAGCTCTTCAGGTATGCATTCATTCCAGATTTAAAACATCACTTCCGTTTAGTATGTTGTTTATCATTTTTTTATCACAGCACCGTCATGCGGTGTTACTGTCCGTCCTTTTAGTTGTTAAAATCTGTTTGTTTGAGTTGTACATAGAACTCTTAACGTAGAATTAGTAAAATGCAGGTGCAGAATGAACGACTAATCAATGTGGGAAAATGTATATAATTGTAACTTAGAAATCTCCCATTTTGATTGCACATATGCTCTTGATGTAAAGTAAATAAAATGTAATGTAACTTAAAGATTGATTTTACCATGTTGGTTTAGCTGTTCTGTTAATTTTTGAAATATTTAGAAATGAATGGGTTGATTTATGATTTTATGGAATTTTCAAAAGTATTTATTATGTGTATAGTGATATATGTGTTTGTGAATGCAGTTAAGTTGTTGGTAGCTTTTGAGTATCAGTTGATATTTTGTACAGTTTTTCAAATTTTCTCTCTTTTTTTTGGGAAATGATTCATATTTACTATAAACTATGAATTTAAAACCCGCAGAGGAGCGCGGCACTTTTGCTAGTTTTGACCTAGAAGCAAATGGAAACGGGCCAACTACTTAGTTGATAACACTGAATTTGATCAAGTAGAAATGTTATACAAAGCAAACTTATAGAGCCCCATTATTGTAATACAACATAACAAATGCTGAAGCACCAGAAATCATAAAAAACATGACGTTGGCCTTGAAGGCCCAAACATTTCTCTAGCCGGTAGACACATCAAGCTAAGTTCGGCGTCCCCTCGTCGCCCGTGCAGTTGTTGACTTCCTCCTCCTCCTGAATGTCTCCACAAACCATTCATCCTTCTTGTCTGCCAACATGTTTCCAGCAACCACTCCCACTACTAGTCCGCTAACAACTCCCGGCAAAACTACGTACCAATCAAACTCAAATGTAAATCCAGCCTCTTCATCTTCTTCAAAACTTGATGGTGGCGGCAGCCTCAAGCTTTTAGAACCCTCGCATTTCTTGGACAAAGGCTTTCCACACAGACCTGAGTTTCCTTGGTATGAATCTTCTAGGAATGTACCAAATTGTTGGCCAAGTGGTATTGGCCCCCAAAGGTGGTTATGCGACACGTTGAAATACTCAAGGAAAGTGAGTTGTGCCAAGCTATCGGGGATCCTTCCTGAGAGCTTGTTTTGAGAGAGATCCAACGATTCAAGAGCAGTCAAGTTCCCTAGAGATGAAGGGATGTGACCAGAGAGAGCGTTGTTGGAGAGGTTTAGCAAATGAAGTTCTCTTAGACTCCCAATGATACTTGCTAGAATCTCTCATTCAAATCTATTATTTGAGAAATCTATAAGTCTCAGATCATAGGGGGTCCGATAATATGTCAACTTAACACCTTTTACTGGAATTATCATATTGTTTGAAACTACAATGTAATCTCCATATTTACTTGTGCTCCTGTTCGATGAGATTCTAAAGTAGAGGTATCCCTTGTTTGCGACAACATATTTCATGAAACTCCAGTTCTCCATGTACTTAGAAGGCAACATACCTGAAAACAGATTGTTGGACAAATCAATGATGCACAAGTTTGGGAACTCATGATTTGTTGGAGGCTTCCCAATTATCCCATGAAATGCATTCGACCCCAAAATGAGACCCCTCAATACTGGAAGTACCCCTAACCAAGAAGGGAAGATGTCACTGATCTGATTGTTGCCAATGTTAAGAAACTCTAACCGAGTGCAATCGGCCATTGATCTTGGTAGTTTCCCCTGTAACCGATTGTAACCCAACAAAACCAATTTCAAACTATTTTTGTTAGCACAAAATGGAGGAATATCGCCGTGGAAAGAATTAAACATCAAGATCAATATTTCCAAGGTACTGGACTTCCCCAAACACCGTGGAAGCATGCCAATCAAGCTGTTGTTGGCCAAATCAAGAACTTGAAGATAATTCAAGTTGCAGAACAATGGTGAAACTTCTCCACTATAATTATTGTTGCTGACAAAGTAAGACATGATAGATTGTGGTGGAATTGGCAATGACCCTCGTAACCGATTAGTATCAAGACTAAAAACCTGCAGATTTTTCCATGGAAGAGTGACTGGATTTTCCTCAAAGCCTGTTAAGAAGTTCGAAGAGAGGTCGAGATTGACCAGAGTTTCTCTAGTTGCATTCCAGAGCCATTTTGGTATTTGGCCATGAATGTTGTTACCAGAAAGGCCTAGGGCTCCCAATTCGTATTGATTTTTCAAAAATTCTGGAAACTCTGTCAAGTTGCATTCAGCCAACTCTAGATATTCGAACTTTGGAAGAGTAGCACTCGAACCAGATTTGACACGCACGGATAACTTGTTGTACCCTAAACCAAGTGCCTTCAACTTTTTGAGGTTGGAAAACTCATCAAACTCAACTAATCCACTCAAATTATTATTGGAAAGGCCAAGACGTTCAAGATTTCTGAGGTGGAAAAGCGACTTAGGAATTGCTCCTTGCAAATCGTTGCGGGTGAGCCGTAGAAAAGTTAATTGGGTCAACTCTAATGCGAGCCAAGATGGGATTTCACCAGTTATTGAATTATCAGACAAGTCTAGAGACGCAAGTTGGGTCAGGTTAGCCACAAAACGTGGGAAATTCCCCTGTAAGTTAATATTCGAAAGAACCAAGTAGTTGAGCTTGGTTAATTTTCCAAAACAAGACAAGGAATCAGGAACTAAGAATTGGCCTGCGGAAACGTCATGAAATGAAGCCATCTCAAGGAAACTGAGCTGGGTAAGGTTTCCAAATGAAGATGGAACATGGGAATCAAAACCACAATTTGAGATATCAAAGTAATTTAAGGAATGAAGGTTTCCGATAGAACTAGGAAGTTCACCAGAGATATTTGTCTTTGAAACATCTAATGTTTTGAAGGAATTGGTCCTGTTAAAAGTAGGAAAATAACCATTTAGGTATGTGTTCGAGTACAATCTAAGCTCCTCTAGGTTTGGTAGATGGAAAATGCCTACTGGGAATTCCCCATACAACCCACAAGAGCTTAGATTGAGAGATGTGAGAGAAGATGCGTTGACCAAGATATCAGGCACAGTGGAGTATATGCCTACATATCTAAGATGAAGTTGTTTTATGCTGGTCAAGTTTTGGACTAGGATTCTCATGATGGACTTCCTAAGCTCCAAACCATTATTGTAAGACAGAACAAGGGTAGACAGTTTGGATAGCCTTGAAATTTCAGATGGAATTTGGCCAGAAAATGTAGACCTTGAAAGGTTGAGATAGGATAGACTCAAAAGGTCATGGCCCAATCTCGATGGTATTTTAGAGGAATTGAAGTTGTTATCTGAGAGGTCAAGCTTCTGCAAGTGAACAAGTCGGAAGAGGGTGCTGTTGGAAGTGATAGAACCATAGAGACAGCTGCTCTTGAGGTCAAGGCCAATGACACGGCCAGACTCCGCATGGCACTCAACACCATCCCACGAACAACAGTTACTCTGATTTTGATCTCCTTCTCGAGCCCAAGATGCAACCTTCGGATAAGCAAAAGGAGATCCCGAAGCTGACTTGTCTATCGTAAAGCTTTCCTTGAATTGTAACAAGAAGGAATGCTCGTCAACGTGGCAAAATGTCCATGTCTGAGTCTGCACAAATGAAAAATAGTGAGTAGCATTGAGTAATAGCAAAAGAAGACAATGCAAACAGGTAAACTTGGACAACAAAGAATCCATTTTCATGGCAGTGTGTTTTTCTGGTTATATGAAATATTGTTTTATGGCTCTAAGATAATTAAGAGTGGAGAAGTTAACTCCTTTTATAGACACAACTCATGCAAAGCATAAATAAATAAATAAAGTATGAGTCGATCGATGAATGGGTGGTGAATTGATGTCTCGATCAATTGAAGACTTGGAAGTCAATCATCGTTTGCATGTAATAATTGCAAACTCGATTGTTTAGTTTTATCTGTACGCTCGTTTGATCTTAAAGAATGTGAACGTAGTACTTTAAGCAGATAAAATCAGGTGATCGCTATCACTTGAAGACTTGAAGTCAAGTCGTCGTTTGCATAAGTGACTCATAGCAACGCTTATTTATCTTTTTAATACAGGTTCTAATTATGTGTATATATACTCCTTAACTCAATTTATTTATCGTTACACTTATTTATCTCATGTTAATTACTTGAGTTGAAGTTCGTCCATGTAGTAGGATTTACTATGTATACACACAATTTATTCATAGTACGTGAATATTAATTAATTTAGTCTTTAATTTAAGGTTAGTGTTTTATTTTCTCGTGCTTTGCACACATAACAAACAATTAGTTGTCACTCTTACTAATAAAAATGTCACCGAGGCTACTATCTCTTTCACAAACAGAGTAGCTTTTGTTCCACTAATCATGGGCATGGGGTCTCGTGAACCAGATTATAAGCCACTGATCATCAACATAATTTAAGGTTAGATATGAACATTTCGGTACACTTATATTTTTTTCATATTTTCTTATTTACCACTAATTCATTACAATATATTTAGGTATGAACATTTCGATATACTAGGTTAGTATAATATATTTAGATACGGACATTTCGGTACACTAGTTTAGTATAATATATTTAGGTACCAACATTTCGGTACTCTAGTTTAGCATCATATATTTAGGTATGAAATTTTTTTGGTACACTTATGTTTTTGCATATTTTCTTATGTGCCACTAATTCACTACAATATATTTATGTACGGACATTTCGGTACACTAATTTTGTAAAATATATTATGATACGAACGTTTAGGTACACTAATTAGATGAAGTAAAATAAAATTAATGAATTAAAATATGTATAATAATAAATTTCAATTTTAATGTAATGTAATGACATTAAATAAGATATCTATTAAATATTAAAAAAAATGTAATATGAATTTGAATTAAGTACACGTTAGAGGACTAAAATCAATATCCAATCTAACACCAGGTTTTTATTGAATTTTAATCTTCTTCAAGGATTAAAGTTCAAAAACCCCTTAATTTTAATGTCGTAAGATTATTGAGTACTATGCGGTAGTACCAATTTTGTCTGAAGTAATGAATCATCATTTTATAGACTTGATCTACCTTTTCGCGAGAGTTGTGAGACTTCTCTGAATGATCATATTCATTCATGGAATAACACATCATTTATAGAAGGGTATAACCTCTATCAGTGGTGGATCCATGATTTTAGTGTCAAGTTGTCCCAATTTTAAAGCTCCAAAAAAGAAGACCAAAATAACATTGAAAAAATAAATGACAAAATCAATGCCATTTATTCGTCTACTAAAATAAAAATAAGTACAACTACATAATATATAACTCATGTAGTTAATGTGAGACTATCAAGACTCTTGTCATTAATACATAGATAAACACTGTGTTGATCACTTGAGTAACAAGTTCTCACAACATGAACTAATAAATAAATCATGCACTCCAAAAAAACACTTGCATAACTAAATCCTAATTAGGGTTTTGGGATCAAAGAGAACAATGGAAGACGTTCGCAAACCTAAAGGTTAAAAGTTATTAAATTTGGAGATATTTTAACTATTCATATACATAAAACAAATAAACAGTTCATTATGAATATGCTACTTGTTACTAAAAATGTTGATTGCCTTGACATGAATGAATGAATGACTAAAAGGTCTATGAATTGAAGGATTTTTGCATATACGATTATGATAAAGAGAATAAACAGTTTCGATATGATATTCGTACAGTGAAGATACATTAATCGTAAGTGAGGGGACAAGCATTGTCCAAAAAAGTGTGTGATAATACTTGTACTCCTTGGGAGATGAGCTCATTCTTCCACTTACAAATAAAGTATCTTGACAGTAGAAATTTCATAATCAAAACCGTTCAATTTCTTAATCTTCATTTGAAAATCATCCCTGTAAATATCAGTCGAATTAGATATTGTTTAATCATCTAAATGTAACAAATAAATCAACAGTTTTTATTGTTTAATCATCTAAATGTAACAAATAAATCAACAGTTTATCATAAATATGTTAGGTGGTACTTACACTGTTAATTTGTTTGATACATTTAGATCTAAACGACCTCTGATTCAAATGATTTTCTTGTGGAGATGATTTTAAGATAAAGATTAAAAACTTGAAATGTTCCATTTATAAAATTTATACTGTAAAGATTCATTATTTGTAAGTGGAGAAATAAGCTGATTCCAAAAAGCGAACACAAGTATTATTCTTCACAAAACATACGCAAAAAAAAATTATGGGAATGAGTGATGAGTAATTGAGTGGTGACAAAAAAGTAATGAAAAAGAAAACCAAACAAGGAGACGATGAAGTCAATATAATGCCGATCTCGATCACTCGAAGACTTGGAAGTCATATGAGTCGTTTGCAGGTAAGCATCTCTAGCTAACCTACAAGTATACCATTAATGTTGTTGCTACTTATTGGCATTGGGTATCAGGCAATTGTCTCAGTTGAAGTCAAACTATTAAGGCCAAATTTGCCTTGTCCCACATGATAAGGCATCGCTAATTAGTAATTACCACTCATGTTCTTGTGATGATAAATACTAAAAGTGACATTAAGAAAAAAATAGAAATTGCATTTATAATTCAGTAATACAAAAGACCAAGGGTTACATCAATAGCATCTTAAACATCTAGAGTTCCTCCGGCCATAGTATCAAAAGTGTTGCGGACAAGGATTGTCTGCCCTCCTTGTTCCCGTGCCCTCCCATGCCCTTTTATTTGTGTGGTTACGGTTAAGCTACTTCAACATTTTATATTACTATTCATTTTTGTCTTATTATCTATATATAAAAAAACAATATAAAATGTTGACGTGACTTAATCGTGACCACACAAAACAGGAGGGCATACAATCCTTGTCCAAGGGTTGCATCAATAGCATTGAAACCCGAAATTACGTACTTCTTTGATGAACAACAACTACTCATCCCATCTTCTTCTTGCGTCCAAGATGTAACTTTTGGATTGAAGAAAGTTAATGTTCCACCATATGATAAAGGGAACTTTAACGAAAAGTTCCCGGTACTGTTCACTTTAACGAAAAACCACATTTTTACATTAAAAAGTCAATCATGATACTATTCACTTTACATTTTATTTTGTCCTTACCGTTAAAACTCAAAGTTTTCAAGTCATTTTCATTAGTTTTCTCTATGATAAAACTAATTGAATAGATATAATGACGCGTGTGTAGTAGGAGAGATAACTGTGTGGTTATTATTTCCCAAAAGGGTTGGGGAATAATTATTCACGAAATTCGAGCCTAAAATCTCTTATTTACAATAAAAAAAAGTAATATCACTAAACCAAAATACTAAATAACTTCATTTCTCAAAATTAAAAACTAAAAATTTAGGTTATCAAATGAACTCTTATTTTTTCAAATTATGATGTATGTTTTTGTTTTTATTTATTTTTAATGTCCGAATTAAATATGCTTAGGATCTCACATAATTAAAGGTGGAGAAATCGACGTCCCTTTTTTGTAGACGGTATATACAAAGTTGTTTCTTTCAATGAGCTTGGGGAGCTATGGACTACAAAAAATAGTGATCATAATTCTAAACATACAAGTCAAGAAGGTGGAGAAATGGGCGCTGATAAGGGGAACATAATAATTTGCTCAGACCGTCACTTGAAGACTTGAAGTCAAGTCATCGTTTGATAAGATCAGCCCATCGCCATCACTTGAAGACATGAAGACTTGTTCGACAAAAAAAGAAAAAAAAGAAATCTTGAAGACTTGGAGTCAATTCATCGTTTGCATGTAATAAGTATTATGTTCACCTTTGAACAAAAGAAAAAAAAACCCATCTCACTGTAAGATGGAAAATTTCTGTACTCATATCTAAAGTCAAAATCTTAACATATACAAGTAAAAATTTCACCGGTGTTCTAAGCTAGTTACAAATACCATACCATTATTCATCCGACCCCCTTAATTATATACTAATCAGAAGGGGCTTATGGGTGTTTCGATCACCAAGGCACGTAACCTACAGAAATAAAAGGAAATGCAATTATGATGAGGAGAGCTGCTTTTCAGCAGAAAGAAGTAAAGGAAGAAGCAAAAGAAGGCGGCTGTGGAGATAGTCTTTAGGGCAAGTGAAACATTCTATATATCATTGTCCAAGCACGATTTGAGAGTGAATCCGTCATTAATTACTCTTGTTACTGTTCTTCAATAGGCTCTTTCATGTTTCCACTCAATTTTCATTACGAACATGTATTATGTCAAGTTGAGTCCTCTCCGAACCGCAGGAGATAGTTGCCCATCATGCAAAGTGACTTTTTGTTCTCACCAATCTGTTCATTTTCTTTCCACCATTACTAGTCATCCCCTAGCAAAGTTGTCTCCAAAAGGGAAGGATTTGATCATGATATGAGAGATAGAGATGGAAAAGTACATGATTTTATAGGCTAGGGTTTAATATTTTTATTTTTCTTTAATCATCAAGAAAAAAAAGGTCATTGGATCATCATGGTTTAACTTGTTTTCTTTGATACATTCGATATTTTCATGAAAATATCCAAAAAATCATATAAAGTTATGGAGATGGGGGGTGAAGTCTAAACTTCACTTTATATCAGAGAAACTCTTAAGTTTAGAATAAAATCGACATATATCGTCGATATTTTGTATACACTTGTTAAATATCGAAAAAAAAATCTCATATTTTGTCCAAATCAATGTTTAAGAATTCCCAATGTTTCATTTTAAATTTTCATTATTTCCATAGAAAGCAACC